ACCACTTTTCCGCGGTGCCCGCGGGCGCCAACTACAAATTCGTTTTGCGCCCCTAAATATAGCTCTAAAAAATTTTTTTCTTCGTTGGAAAGTCGTTTTATGGCGTCCTTTTTCCATCTAAGCCGTTTAAAAAAATGTTTTTTTCCTCTGCATGTGTCCTTTAAGATTCATCTAGTTATTTCAACATTTACTTTGGTTAATGTGATTTATTTGGGACAGTAATGCCACATACCCAGCCAGGTAAATCAACACTAGGTAGAGTTAGGTGTTTAAAAATGTGCCAAGTGATGGCCAAGGTATGAAACCTTTATGCCGAAGTGAGACTGATTAAGTTAATTTTGGAGCATGCCCACTCCTAGAAGAAGCCTTCTTGGAGTGCCAGATCCTAACCAGGATTCTTTTTTTTTTTTTTTTTCAGTATGTATTGATAAACGCTGAAAAGTGACCCCCAGCTGGTCTTTTAACAAAATTAAGAATAAGGCCAAGAAACCCAGGATGGGAGCTGTCCTTGAATAAGGAAAAGCCATGTGTCACAGGAAAAAAAATCTTCATCTACAGCTCTGTTTTGTTGGCCCAAAAACACAGCTTGCACTGGACTGACTGCAAGGCTGCTGCTCCTTTCATTCTCTGATTGGTACAAAGACATTTTCCAGGTATTCGGGTCGTGCGTGCGTTCCCAGGGGTCAGGGGAATCCCACACCCGTGACCTGTTCTTTTTATCATAAGCCTCGGTACATGCCGACTTTTTGCCCGACACTGAAAATTGGCACCAAAAAATAGGGAGAATAAAGATAGTGGAGAGTTTGTAAAAAAAAAAAATGCAGAATTGTGGGGAAAAATAAACTGAAACGCCCTTAAATTTTAAGGAAAGTTAACACCCAAGACACGGAACCCTAGTCATAACCATGCATTTCTATAACGGTAGTCAAGGGAAAGTGGTTATACTGTCGTGCCTCACTAATACAGACCTTGTTAGCACAAATACCCCGCTATACGAACAAAATTTTCAGCAACGAGCTTGGCAAATACGTGCATTTTTGTTTCATTATTGTGGATGACTCGCATTATGGACGACTTTTTGGAAGAATGGAGGTGCCCGTGTTAACGGGACGCAACTATATGGACAGCACTGCCAAGTGTGGACATGCACGGCCTTGGGAGAGATTTTTTTTTTTTTTTTCCTTATGAGAGTTAGTCAAGGTGGCTTACACAGAAGCGTTCTCGCTGAGTAAATGCGAGTCCCAGCCCTCATGTCCGGTTTGTGCCCCACGCTTTTCTCTTGTGGCTGATGTGGTACATTCAGCGCTACAGCATTGCTATCTAGGTGGTGTTGGCCAGTCCCCACCGAAAGGAAAGGTTCCCTTCTCAATAGCAAAGAAAATCAGGTTTGCGCAAGTGTTACTTTTTTTATAATGCTTTTTAACCCTGAGACCAGTCCTTGCTTGAGCAGTAACTAGGTGCAGCAGTATAACATTTTTAGTTGCATTTTTTTTTTTTTTTTATAAAGAGAAAGGTGTGGTGCTACATGAAGAAAAATGTCAGATTTCCTGGGCTTAGTTGCATGCTCTGGGAACAGCAGTTCTGAAGGTAATGCCCCAGTTGCTAGATGCACTTCATAAAGCTCACGAGGGTTTGTGCTAATATACATAAAATTAAACTTTTGCATTCGATTTGCGTTAATCTGTGGAAGTTAATAACTTCACGGAAACTGGTTGTAGACATGCTAGCTTGACACAGCAGTGTGCTCGTCAGGTTTGGCTTTCGTGCAATATGTGTGTTGACCATGAACCCTAACAATTTAGTTTTTATTGCCCAAAATGGTGGGCGGCAATTAAACCTGACAAATGTGTGTGTGAATATCACTGTTGCTTTGAGCGTACTTGCTTTCCTGAGGGTGCACTTTTACTGATTTGATGCACTCCAGAGAGCAGCCAATAGTGAAAAATACTGAAAAACCGTAACCTCGACATTTTTACAGTGTAAACGTTTGAGAGCTGCTCGGTTCACAGCTTTGATGAAAGATTGCCAGTTGTGTTGTATGTTTAGACAGTGTGAAATCGGTTAGTCCCAATGGGTGTTTCGTGCCTCTGCCGTAGATCAGAAACTTATGCAGTACAACTGTTAGCTCGGGGTCTTTAATGTGCATCAAACAGTAGTGACACGCAAGATGCAACACTACACTTACTCATAAAAAGAGGAATCGTTTCGATTGATTTAGTCTAAACATTCACTGTGTGAATGAATAACCAAGTCATGCTTATATGTACAATCAAAAGTAATGTCAGATTGGTCATGCGCAGATGTTTAGTTAAAGAGAAATTACACTGCCCTACAATGTGAAAGAAAAACCCGTTTTTGCTGTATAGAGGAGCAATTTGACCAGTGTGGTGCTTCTGCAGACGATAAGCAGTTTGCATTCAGGCATGCATTCGACGCACCATTCTGGATGAAATATACTGCATTCTTGGGTGTTTTTACGTATTATCTAAGCCCTGAGATTTGCCAGCCTCACAATGCAATACTGCGTCAGTAATTCTGAACAGTAGCTAAAACTGGCCTTGACTGAACAGTACATTGTACAAAAACAATGCAATCACCGAAACACGATCAGCTGATGAGCTAGGCTGTACTGGCCCCCACGGCACAGCAAACAGCAAAAAAAAAAAAAAAAAACACATGCAAGAATGCAACATTTTATCCTGAAACGACGAACGGCATGAGGAACGCACACCAGAATGCAAGACACCGCCTGTGAAAGCAGCCCCATATTCTGCCCCAAACAGGACACAGCAAATGTCGTGCGCAGCAATAAAAAAGCAAGCACGCTTCTCAAGATTGTGAATGGTGTGCACATGTTTTAGTGAGGACATCAACCATGCAAACAGCACGTCTCGCCTCCTCTCCTTGTTCTCGGGAGGTCGGGCACTGACACCAGTGGAGGCTTTGACCATAGCTGCCAACAGAGCGTGTGAGGGGTTGTCCAGACCCACGCAATGAGCACGCCTAAGCTTCCGCCCAAGGACAGAAACAAAAGGCAGCTTCTGTCCTTGGGCGGAAGCTTAGGCATTTCCCCTCCGGCAAATGTAACGTCTCAAAGTGGACCAGAACCGGAGAAAAAACTGCTTGCCAGTACAGCAAATGCTGTGAACTACAGAAAAGGTGTCCTAGCTGTCTGGACAGCTGGAGAAGCACTGCGCTTTGAGGCAGAAAGGTAGAGGGAAGTTGGCCGAATTTCCGAAGACGCCCTGGAACACGCCCAGCCCGCTTCGGTGTGGGCCAAACTCTCTGCATATACGGCTCTGTCGGCTTGGTCGCTGCAGCGCGAGTGCGGCCACCAAACGTCCATCTTGCATGCAGCGAAATTGTGATTTTGCTAGCGTTGCAAAGGCTGGCGGCATGTGCTGAAGGCATGTTTTCTGCTCGTTTGTCGTCATTCGCCGAAGTTCTTTAAAACTGTGTAAGCCATGAGACGCCGTTGAGTATATATAAACATTTTTAAGGAAACGCACTGCCGCAGGAAAAAGGTATAACTCGTCGAAAGCAAGTTTTGCCGGTCTTGCAGCGTGATCAAATTAAGCTTCTTTGGCACGCCGAAATACTGCTTCTCTGTGCCTTCACACGCTTGGATACCGATCAAGAATCGACACCAGGGTCGTACCCAGAAAAAAATTTCGGGGGGGGGGGGGGGGGGGGGGGGGGGCGGGTTTCGGGGACAACGGCGGCCATTTTGAAAGTGTCTGTTGTCTTATTTTCGCCTATGAATCATGTGCATCGGTGGCGTATAATGGAGAGTTACAGCCAACCGGAGAACCGGTCCCGGTTTGGTACCCGGTAGCCGAACGGTGCCACTGCGCGTGCGCAGAGGTGGAGATTAAAATCGGCTGGCTGCAAGTGCACCGACCAGGGCCGTACCCAGAAAAAACTTTCGGGGGGGGGGGGGGAGGGGTCAGAACCCCCCGCCCCCCCCCCCCCCCCCCCCTGGTTACGGCCCTGATCGACACCGTGTGGATATGTTTTGTGAGTGCAACGTGCATGAAGCTGTATGTGCCTCTGGAGCAGCATTTTACTTTACTCTGACGACTGTATTTGTAACCCGCAGCACTCGCAGTCCAGAAACGTGCTTGATTCAGCATCCAGTGGCTGGGAAAGAGGGGGGAAGGTACATATTTTTTTCGTCACGGTTTACAGGATATTGCACACAACAGCTACTCATCACTGATCAGTGCTGGCTCATTATGAACCTACTTCGTTTGAGCGTGGCTTGCCTAATTACTCTCTGTTGTTTGAGGCAAGGACAAGTTTTTTTAATCTTGACTGCCATATGCCACAATGAGGAAGAAACGATAGAACATGTGGTTATGTAAATCGCACAGGGCGGCAATGTTCAACAAATGTTTCGATTCTCCTAAAAAGAAACAGAAGTGACGATATCGCGTCGGATTGGCTAGAGGCTCAAATGACCAAAGAGGGAACTTTCATCATTTGAGCCTCTATCCAATCAGACGCGATATCGCCACTTGCGTCACTTCTGTTTCTTTTTAACAGAAACAAAACATTTGTCGAACATAGCCCCCCAGGACTTCGTCCCACCCTTCTGGACGGGATGAGAATACATTTGGCAGGAGCTCTGGGTTTTGTTGATGGGAGTGGGAGGATAGAGGAAAAAATAATTACAATAACAAAGAGAAGGTTTGAAGATTGGTGGAAACGATCTAGGGAAGTGTGTTATGTCACAAAATTGTGGGGTTAGGGCAACCTCGTTGGGTTAGGCGCACGACCTGTGGGGCGGTAGGCGGGTGCACTGGGCTACAAGAAGCGCCTCCACCACACGGATTGTAGCTTTTAAGAAGAAATATCTAGATATATAATTTGGCAAAATTGAGGGGTTTTAACGAGAGACGAAATATAATTGAAAAGCTATACTAAACTAGATGGCGATAGCTACCACCTAATATAAAGGGTACAGTCAATAATCATTTGTCCATCCACCCTCTGGCGCTCTGGTTGCTCTGGTTTCCATGCTTTTTTGCGCGGTGAAGTCAATTGGACGTTGGTGCAGTGGAAATGGGGGCAACCTGCATCGTATTTTGTTAGCTTCACGTGAGGACGTGAGCTTCACAAAGGGACAAAAACACGCGTTTGTCGTTGGGGCTGATGGACATTGACGATGCCTCCACAGCTCAGGAAACGTCCGGCGGTTCCTCCTAAACCCATCATGTAAGTGTCTCCTTTGGGGCTCGATTCTACCGGTTCGTTCTTTGTTTAGCAGGGAATTATATAAGCGAAGGTTCAGGCACTGATGTCTTGCTGTTCGCAAAATGAATAGGCGTGGGTGCCCGGTGCACTAACTCGATCTCTGTAGTCAGAGTGACGTCGCTTTCTCTTTTGAGTACGCCACGTTGTCCGCTGGCGCGGGAATATCGTGGGAATCTGTTGTGTACAGACCTGCCAACCCTACAATGCTAAAAATACTACAGAGTACGCAAAAAAAAAAAAAAAAAATCATTACAATTGTGTGAGGAAATACGTAAACTGATGTAGTCACAAAACTTGGCTACAATGGGATAAAGCTTGGCCAGCTTGGCTTCGTTGCCAACGTCATTGCTCCCGTCAGGCGCGACCGAGAACAGCACGCTCAATAAACTACTAAGATTGCCGATCTCTTTTTCAGCCCTTCCCTTCACTATCGCAGTTGTCTAGGTTCGAGCACAAGCGTAGTTACTAGCTTACTTTTAGCCCGGGAACATTTTTTGAAAGATGTCACCGGCGTGATCAGCCGCCGTGTACGGCACGGGTCCATAAATTGGGTTGTGTGTATGTTTATACAGCCTAGAACTTGGTCTGCCTCAACGGGCGACGAGTCTCCCAGCTGTAGATGAGCAATCTAGCCAGTGCAGTACAATCGCTAGCCTGGGGTCTTTAACGTGCAGCACGCAGTAGTGATACACGACCGCACGCCGGTACGATGCTCATCCAGATCGAAACGGGCAGGGGTGGGGATTGAACCCAGGATGCTGGGTTCTGCAGCGCGAGCTTTCGCTCCGCGTGCTCCAAGAATGACACTTTAGCGAAAAGAGGTCATTTGAGCGAATCAATATTTTAGCGAATACTGCTCATTTCAGCGAATGACATTTTAGCGAACAATGTTTTAGTGAATATGCTTGTTTCGCTTATTTTTTCTTTATCGAAGCCAGAAATACTTGCCTGGCTTCTCTTATTTACCGCGAGGAAAAAGAGCGACACAGAAATGCATTTTGGTTTTAGTTAAAGAACGTAACGATTTATTACGAGCCACCAAGTGTCGAACCCCCAAAATACGCATAACTGAGCGGAAGCTGCACGGCGTCAGATAGCTAGCGGCTGGTCAAAAAGGACACTCACCCGGGTCACCCGCGATCACTACGACATAGGTAGCTTTCGCTGGAAAAATCCTGAAGAGGCGTTACGCGGTATCACCGCTATCGCTGCGATCGTTGTAACTTCGTTCTTCTGTGATCCGAACAGTTCACAGCCAGAATGCAATATCACACATATCACGCAGTACATTTGCCACAGTTAGGAAATCTTATCACCATCAGCGGTATCAAAACGTCCCAAGTCACGGGATATCCTACCAAAACCATGTGCGTGTCGAAGGGAAATAAATCGATTCTAGGTGACAGCTAGCATCTCTTGGTGGGTTATTTTTGCCGCATGACAAACTCCAGCGTTCTACTTTTTAACCATTAGACCAACAGTATTTTAGGCTGACACGGGGCGCAGTTTCTTCAAAAACGCACTCTGATTTCTTTTTTTTAAAAATAAAAGCCTAATTTTCAAAATTATAGCGCGACTTTTCAGACTAATCATGATCTTTTTTATGCAAAAATGGGTAAGTAAACTAACACAGTCTGCATCTCTTTTTACCAGGCGGTAGCTTGCGCCACCTACCCTTAAACTTTTTTGACACTTTTTGTTTGCTACACTAATCTGCTTTCCCCTAAAACCGCTGCAATTATCACAGGGCAGGGGAAATAATCACCAGTTGGTTCAGTTAAGGAGGATAATTATGATTATTTTTGTAGCTACTTTCCTTGAATTGAGGCAACGCGCATCGTGCCAACTGCAAAATATGTTGTCTTCTGCGAATACTTTCTAGCTTGCAAAACTAGCTGACACCAGTGACCAACTAGCAGGGGTTCAGTGGCCGAGTGGGCTAGCGCACACCAGCTCAGAGCACGTGGAGCGAAAGCTAGCTCTGCAGAACCCAGAGATCTTGTGTTCAGTGGCTTACCAACTTGTTTTTGAGTGGGGGGGGGGGGCAAACCAAACCTCCCCCCTCCCCCCGCCAAGGCCGGTGGGCGCCCTTAGTATACTATCCCTTGGGTGCTGCCGGCCAGTGTTTGCCCTGCCCAGTGGCAGCTGTTTCAGGGGGGGGGGCAAAACACATGCCTTGCCCCCCACTCTGAGAACTGGGGGGGGGGGGGGGGGGGGGGCAAGCGCCCCCCTTGCCCCCCCGGTTGGTACGCCCATGCTTGTGTTCCATCCTCACCCCTAGCCCGATTTGATCTAAATGAGCATCCTACTGGCGTGCGGTCGTGTACCACCACTGCGTGGTGCACGTAAAGATCCCAGGCTAACAGTCATACTCACTGGCTAAATTACTCAAGTTGAGGCCTGAGCGAGCTGGTGCGACATACTTCGGGATATAAAAACAGCGCAAAAGGCGAAGGACCAGACAAAGAAGTAACACGGTAGAAGTAACCCGGTCATTTATAGTGGGCAGCAATGTCGCCATGTTCTGGTAGACTAAACTATTGTTGTATAAACAACTAACGACTAATGTGTCTTTTTGTTTGACCAACTAGCCAAAAATTTGCAGAAAGGTACTTCATAAAATAATATGATGAAAATATGAGCTCTCCACGTGCGAGTGTTGGTTTTTCTTGTGAATTTTACATAAACAACTTACCGTAAAATACCAGGCAAAGCGCCCTCTCAAACTTTGGAGATAATTAATCGCAAAAAAATGGGGGATGGGTGCTTGTCCGGTCATCAATTTTACATATATATGTATTGTGCATATTTTCTGAGATCTTACAAATTTCGGTAATGGGTGCTTAATGTGGAATGGGCGGATGCGCGGTATACTACGGTAGATCGATCCAGAAGAAAAACACACGCACAACTTTAAAAAATACAAATTTCACCAAAGACACGACGGCACAGGCTTATTAATAAGCAAAAATCGAGACGCTTTTCTTTTTTCTTCTTTTTTTGGCATGCCATCTACCGCGTAAGCCCAATGGATCAAAAGTATTTGTAAAAAATCGTCAAAATATGTTTGGCGCGCTATGGTGCTGGAATTCGTCATGAAGGCGCTACTAAGTGGCAGACATGTCTTTTGAGAATTGTAAAAGAAATACTTGCCTTCATCAAAAGCTACAAATAAAGACGCTAATTTTTCTATGGGCAGAGAAAGAAAAATAAGCCTTTTTCGTGCTCCTGAAAAAAAAAAAAAAGTTTTTGAGTTTTGGGGGCATTTGAACAAAATATTTGAAAGCAAGGTCAGACGGATTTCCCTCCTGCCGCATCCTTGTTTAGCTCGAACAGCCAAATAGCCAACAAGAAAGGTTTTTTCTCAGAGGGAATAATCAAAGTCAAATTGGACGTTTAGTGTTTATACAGTGTAAGGTTGGTCTGCCAGGATGAGGCGACACTGGTTTACACTGTAGATGAGCAATTTTGCCAGTGCAGTACGACTGCTAACCTGGGGTCTTTAACGTGCATCACGCAGTAGTGATACACGACCGCACGCCGGTACGATGCTCATCCAGATCGAAACGGGCAGGGGTGGGGCTCGAACCCAGGATCCCTGGGTTCTGCAGCGCGAGCTTTCGCTCCACGCGCGGCGAGCTGGGTGTGCGCTTCAGCCCAAGGGAATACCCTTGCTCTTTGTCAATAGGAAGATAAGTGTCTTTATTTATAACTTTTGATTGATGCCAGTGTTTTCTTAAATATTCTAAAAAAAAAAAAAAAAGATGTCACACTTTCTTAAGTGCCTTCAAGCCATTGGACCCACGCGGTATGCGCAATGTACATATGATGTGAATTACAATGTGCGTATATAAAGATGTTCTTAGCGGGACGATTGGCAAGATTCACGATTTAACGATTCACATTAAGTGTTTGACAATAGTACGCCTAGGCGATAAAAATATTATGTGTACATTAACTTTAGAGCGGACGTCTAGCAACGAAAATTTCCTATAATAACCAATATTTCTGATAGCGGCCAATCTGAAGAGGTAAGTGAATTCAGGAATTAATGTAATTTTAACCGCAACAAGTTGGCAGTTCAAAATCAGACACAGTCTGGGAGAACTGTTTCTGCAACGTGAACTTGGACTGCGGTCTTTCATTGCAGTAGTCCTGTATTACACGTGAATGCTGACAAGGGTGCACTGCAAGACACCGTTGTGTATTCGAGGGTGCACATATAAACTTATAAAGAAAATTGTTAATATGTCGCAGAAAACCTTGGGCTTGTTCACTGAAACTTGACATTCAAAGACCCAGTCATGGCTGCTGTGAGTTGATGCATAAGTGGTGATCCTGTGCGCAGCAGGGGAGGGGATCCCCAGCTAGGTTTTTTTTTTCCATATCTGGATCCAGGCATCTTGACCTAAATTTCCCACTTCAGAGGATTCTTTTTTTTTTAATTTCCTTTAAATAGATTGCTTTATTACTCAGTAGAGGAGAACTGGCCACGCGGTACTGGCCACGGGCCTGGCGGTGAGCCTCCTTGTACACACTGCGTTCATCCCTACTGCCATCAGTTCATGATTTCTTCCCTTTGCAAAGCATCAGTATCTGTGGCGGCTAATCAATATCTTTAAGGGTGCTGTTTCACGCATTTGCGTCGAGTGCTACTTTAAAGGTTCAAACATAGTTCGACGCAGCGCGGGCGCTATCACAGTGCAGCAACTGTCACCGAGCCACCCTTCTCATGAGCATAGTTGGCTTTTTACTTTCCCAGTACCCCAAGTAGCGACAACGATGATGGTCCGATTGACAATTCCTCCCTACTCCTGTAGCCTCCGAATGTAACGTTGCACATCCTGATTCGAATTCCCCAATTTTACCTTTCTTTTACTTTGAGTATAAATACATATCTTTCAGTGATGATACCATGCTGTTACTTATGGGCTGCCCCAGGATCTTTCTCATCTCAATTGCAGCTGCTGTGTTGCCTTGCTCTTTGGCAAGGCAGACTATCTTGGCTCGTGTAGTCTTGCTGTGCGACCCATACATTTTCCTTAATTTCCTTGGCATCTTGTTGGAGACATTTCTCAAAAAGGCTGTTGATGGCTGCGCAGGCCTCTTGCAAGGAGTCCTTCACATATGATTGCGGTCCAGGAAGCGAAATTCCCACGGGCAACTTTTGCACAGTAAACTGGTTATGGTCCGAAGGCAGGACTAGCGACAATTTCAAGAGGCGTGACCTGAAAGCTTCCCTCTTCCATTTCATTACCAAGGCAAACAAGAGAACAAACTTTTCAAGAAAAAAGATAGGTCAACCAACCTTTAATACCAGAAATAACAACAAAACAAAAACGTGGCAAGCCAAAAAGACGGAGAACGAAAAACACGAGGTTGCAGGAGAATGAACTTCGTAAAGAGCAAGATACAGAAATTGTGGCTAGGTCATTTGAATTCCCAGTACAGTTTTTGCCCTGCTGTGGTGAACATATGAAGGACTTGTATCTTTCATAAGTGCCCATTCCAAATTGGAAAAGAGGGGGGTTGCCATAACATGTCTTAGGTGGCTCTTGCAAAACTTTGCAAACACCAGATTATTGCAAACACCAGATGACAACCGGTTTCGTACAGCAAGTAAAAAGGATTCAAAACGTAGGGTACTCCCTCTAACCTAAAGGTGCAGCCATGTCAAGATAAAAGATGCATAAGCTAATTCCATACTTGCATAGAGCATCACACAACATTAAAAATGAGTGATGGACCGAATTCGCCAAACTTCAGATTCAGCAAAAATTCGGCAAACGTCTGCGCATTCGCGAGAATGTGACAGGGCCATGGATTGCAGATGGGCGTCGTATGGTCACCATCGTACAGTGAAGTACTACCAGTGGTTACGGCGAGGTGTGGGGTATATGGAAACTGTGTGGTTGTCAGCCTTTGCGAGTGTGGTTCTTCAATATTTTCTGCCTCAAGAACAAAAGATTGAACAGGAATTGATGCAGTCGCAAGTGACAAATGATGCGATACTTTCTGGATAACGTGATTTTTATTTGATCTTTCTAAAGTTGCAACAAAGTAGTTGCAACATTGACTGACACAAACTTTAAAGGGACACTGACAGGGTGTTGATGCTTGCCAAGGTTTTTATTTGTGCATGACACCCTAACTACCCAGAACACAATTTACGGCTCGAAATTCGTTTTCTTTCCACACGAAAACTGCCAATCGAGAACTGGCCGTTTTGAGTCACACTCACTCTCTTTCCCATGGTCACGAGCTATTTTCTGTGGTTTAGCCACAACCACCAAAGATAATCAGAGTCGTGGGCCATCGAAGGCACGCACTCAATACTAAGAAAAGACTGAAAATAAGACGCCCATTTTTTGTGGCTTCTAAAACGTTTAAAGATACGTTGATTGAAAAGAAAAAAAGCTGCACAGCCACGTGACTTCTGGTAACTTTCTCATTCTTTTATGTTTCTTCCTTCCAGTTCGGTTTTGGTTTCGCGCACTGGAGTTTTTTTACTTTTAAGAATATATGTGACGCTGTAGCAAAATATTGATTGGGTAGTCTTCTCATACTGTAATAAATTGCCTGGCAAAAAATAAAAAAAAAATGTTTGGTAGGTGTCAGTGTCCTTTTAAAGCGCTCCTCGCCATTATAGCAATCCTGTTTTCGGCTCACAAGTAGTTTGTGCCAAAACCTAATAATATTGCTTTTAATTAACACTATTTCACATTTTTTTATTTATCCGCATAAGATTAAACACAAAAATATCATGCTTGACGTTGCACATTCAATATTCCTAACTCTTCCCATCTTCCTAAATGTCTGCGTGTGTCCTAACATCAGGCACCAGCCTTTCTAAACGTTAAAAATGAGACATTGCAAATATGGGGCGCACACTGTAATGGAAAGCTGAAGGGACGCAAATCGAAAAAACATGTTTTTTTACAATAATATTGTTACCCCTTCTGGTGGAGGCTCAGCAGCAGTTTCATTCATTTTCACGCACAAAACGGTGACTCGCAGAGAAAGTAAGAAAACAGTGTTGCCGCCTGTATTTCAACAATGTACACTTTTGCAGGCTTGAGCTTGAACTTGTTTATTTCAGCACTTTTGTGCTGAGGGAACAAGACAAAAAGCTTCCACGAGGTAGCTTGACTAGGTCTGGTGTACTTGAACTTACAGGGCATGTTAATAGAAACACTATACAATGTAATTTGTCTAAACAAAACACACACATCTTTTTTTTTTTTTTTTTTAACACTGAATATCAATGCAGTCTGTGATGAACTTGTAAAGTAATCTACGCTTGCACTTATGAGGACTAAAAACTGACTCGTATTGTGACTGCATCTGCTACTACCCAACCTCGTTGCCACACCAGTTCTGCAAAAAGTCACTGTAAAATTGCCAGTAATCACATAAAAATGACACCGATACAATTACCATGTTGAATATCACCTTATTTAGTAATAACTGTCAATATTAATTAAAACAAAAACCTAAAAATATTTTCACCCTAAAAAATGAAATATTAACTTTTAGTTTTGGCAACAATGTATCTTTGCCGAATCTTTAGAAAAGTTTGTTGAAAATTCGTCACTGCTGAATCCCAAGATTCAGCGCCAAATATTGGATTCGGCAAAAGTTTGGCCCATCACTATTAAATATATAGCCGGTAAATACAACGTTAACACTGCTTTCTCGGCCTCTTGTAAACTGTCCCAAATCTGTCCGATGCTGACAAGGCAGAAAAAAACACTGGGTCCCAAAGGGCACGCAGTGCAGTACTGAATGTGCCACCAATGTATACAAGATACACTGCTAAGTTGGAGCCACCGAGCCACTGCTTTAAGATAGAGCTTGAGAACAGAATCTCATAATTTGGTAACAGCCTTCATATTTTAGTTTAAAGTCATGGTTAATACCACCCTTGAATCTGAAGGGTGATGATGTTCATATGTCACTCATCAGAGCGTATATTGCTTCTTCTCTCTTCAGGACGGCCGCCCTGGAACTCCGCCGATATGCTTCATCCCTCCAACGGGGATGTCGGGGTGTATCAACGTTGAAGGACATCACTTCCCTCCTCAGCAGCATCAGTGGCTATGCAAGGTTAAGCCAGTTCTTTGCACCGTGCACCAAGAGTGACAGCCAGCCATGCCACCTCCTGGACCAGTTCAGTGTCTGGAGCCGGTTCCTGTTGGCAAGCGACATGGAACTGCTGGAAACAGCACCCGAAACACTCAGCCTGCTCTGCCTGCCTTATCGCCACAGCAGCGGGAGACCGGAAAACTATGGTCCCGTTGAATGTATATTGCTTCACTGGCTTCTCAAGGAGCACTGCTGCATCACTCACGTGAAGCTTCCTCGCATAGCTATGTATCCCCGGTTCCCATGGAATGTCTGCTTCGACGCTCTCTGCCTCAACTCCGGGCTACAAGAGCTGACAATTGATTGTGTGATCAGTAGAGAACAGTGGCCAATGGTCATACTGGCCCTCAATAGTCTGACAGATCTTCAGAAGCTCTACTTGGAACCGTTAACTTTGTCGGTGAATGTCGCAGTATCGCTGGCAACTGCCATTATGAGGATGCCATTTTTGAGGTCCCTTTCGTTTGTTCGCTTGTTGATAAACCCTGGTGGCAGTGCGGAACACTTGGCAACTGCTTTCAAGGGGACGTCAGTCTTGACGTCACTTAAGCTTAATTGCTCAAGCGTTGATCCTTCAGATGCAAAACATCTGCTGCAGAGCCTGGGCTCAAGTATTGCCGAACTTTGTGTATCGGGCCATTTTCTTCAGCCAGGGGGAGGTGTAGTCTTTGCGAACTACGTCGCCCAGAACGTCACATTGAAGAAGCTGCGCGTTGAAGGCTGTGTCAGTTCAGAGACAACCGACCTTGACAACTTTTTCAAGGGACTGCAGTCGAATAATAGCCTTGAGGAACTGTGCTTGAACGGCTTCAGTTTGGCAAAGCCTGAAATGGAATCACTTGCAGAAAGTGTAGCAATGCTCAGATCCCTAAAGCTTCTAGAGGTTTGGGATAAGGGTGACGTGGGCGGGGCTCCCCTTGCCGAACTTGTGGGTCGGAACACGGGCCTTCGCGAACTGAGATTTTCGGCCGGTTTAGTGAGGTCTTATGATGCGTTTGCCGATGCAGTTCGTAAGAGTACCACACTGGAAAAGCTTTCACTGAATCTGGTTCAGCACAAAAATGTGGATGTCCGTGTCTACCAAAGGTTCTTGGAAGCCCTGTCTTGTAACAAATCGCTTCAGCGAGTCACGTTACGAAACATCTGCAACTGCCTAGAAACTGCCTTCTGCCACATTCTGCACGAGACGGGGACTGAGGCAAGGGTTGAGTTTGATACTGACAAGTATGAAGCTCCTGACCTTGCAGGAGTGCTGAGTTACCCAGAGCCTTTCAACTTGCGGTATTTATGCATATGGAGCGAGGTCCCCACGCCTTCTGCATTGCAGCAGCTGGTTAATTTCCATCAGCTTAGGGAGCTCTCCATGTACCTGGGAGACGACCTGGTCGAGGGAGATGCTGCAACTTGTATAGCACTCTTCTTGGCATCCACCAAGACCCTGAGAGAAGCGACGCTTGAGTTTAAGACCACAAAGGAGTCGACCCACACCCTTTTAAAGGGAATCTCCTACAACAGAAGCATCTCGGAGTTGAGCATGGATCGGTGGTCTTTCGGGCCAGCTGAAATGGACCTTGTCCATCAGATCATAAAAGCCAACACTGTCCTCAGGTCACTGAACATATGCCCCAGGAACTGCAAGAAAAGCCCACTACTGGAACTGCTGCCCAAATACCTGCTTGACAACGACCACTTGCTTCGGGTTCACATGGGTCCGGTGCTAGCCAACTATCCCGTCACCCAGCAGCTCCAGGAGGTGACGCGTCGGAACTTGTCAATGCTGTACCGTGCGGTGCTTTTCGTTACGGGCTCCCGTGGCAGACGTTACGCCGGCGCTTTCGATCGGGTCTGTGCGAGTCCCACCCTGATCAAGGAGGTGATGAAGTATGCCTCGGAGTCTGAAGAGGCGGCTACACAGAGGGTGAGAAGCCACAAGACCTACCTCGACCAACACTTCTGGGTGGAAGTTGGTGTTGTCAGGGGTGCTGTGGTGTGCGAGAACAGCGATGGGGGGGTCCAGCTCGACCAGATCGGTCTTGACAACTGGCTGTGCATCCGCCAGTTTCTTAAGGTGGCCGACATCAGGGAGCCACCGGCCCAAGCTGCCGCAACATACCGTCCTCGGAAGAGGCGCTACCATAGCCGGTAAATGCCCGAGTGCTGCTGCAAAACTTGTTTTGGCTGTTCATGTGATTAAATTGATTTTTATCCTTTCTAATTGTGCTTGAATCTTTTGGCATGGTTTGGGCATCACTCAGGTGAATTGGTGCCATGGCGACATGGCGCAAACTCGGAGGTGCAAGACACGATTTAACATAAAGCTCCACACCCATTTGTTTATTCTGGGACACTTGGAAGTTGACCTGGCATATCCCCTGATGAGACGATTCGATGCCTGATAGATCACGAAAGGCCTTAGGAAGAAAGAATGGTTATGTACATCAAAGAGGATGCCGGATCTCCATATCGTGTTCAGCTTTTCAACCATGTTGGTATGGTGGTTAGGATCCAGATTTCTGGGTATCTGGTCCACAGGGTGTACAATTGGTCCCGTTTAACCTTCTCTTACAACGGTGTACAAGCGCGTTAGGTGAGCTTTGGCATTGCACTCCTTAAGAGGGAAACAGACATACTTTGTCAGCATTTTCTCTAACTTGAAGCTTAAAATCAAGAGAAATTTTATTTAAATATGACACTTGGTTTGTGTCCATGTTGGAATCAAGGGCTCATAATGGTGGGAAGCCATAAGGAAATGCCATGTCACTACATATAGATAGTTTGGTGAACACCCTCCATCAGTTACCTTATTCGTTTGCATGAAAGCTACTCAGCATCATTTCTTTTTTTTGGAAGAATCTTGAAGCTCGGTGGAGTTGGCTCAAGAAGTAAAATTGGAAACATAGACCTGTTTTAAATTGTGCCCCTCTCTGGAAAATGTTTGCCACAGAGCAGTGTTTGCACAGCATTAAGGAGAACCATACGTTTTATGAAAGTAGTGTGTGAAACCATGCTTATACTTGTTCTCTTTCAAAGTGCATAGGTGCCGACTGCTCGATCGCAGGCACGTCCTAACTTTGAATATAGGCCACCACCTGATGTGTTTTTGTGTTGCCGAATAATTTGGCTTCTGTAGTCGATCAAGACGCAAAATAACTTGAGCGAGGTGTAAATTACAGCCTGCATGCCTAGAAAAGCATTGGGCGAAAGTTTATCATCATGGATCCCTGTAAAGTTTCAGACCAAAAATAGAACATATTTTTGTTACTTAAATGTGGTGGTGGTCATGCCTCAATTGAATGTGTTCTGTGGAAAGGAAGAGTTGACTGCTGAAATAAATGGTTGAAGGTAAACATAATCGGTCACGTTCGTACGGAAATGTTTCAACCAGCCTTGGTAAACAGGAACCCTAAACATGAACAAACAACTATTTTAGACGTAGTACTGTCCGCTTTCGCGGGGCAAGTTATCTTGTTTATGGCGGTATTGGCCAGTGGCCAACTTACCACAGCCTGGTAATTATGGGCAATGACTGGTTTTACGGCACAAGGGCTGCTGAGGCCAAAATGTGCCAGTAATTCTGGGGTTTCACAGGGATTCATACTACCGCAGAATACCGTGCATCCGCCCATTCCACATTAAGTGCCCATATTCAAATTTCTTAAGATATGAAAAAATATGCACAGTACATTTATATGTAAAATTGATGACCGGACAAGTGCCCACCCCCCATTTTTTTGCCATTATCTCTAAATTTTAAGTGGGCGCTTGCCCGGTATTTTATGGTAGGTCCAGTGCTGTTACTTATATTTATTAATGATTTACCTACTAAATTGTCCGTTTCTTGCAAGTAAACTGGTTCACTTTGCTTGGAAATGCACATCCAATATTTCATTGCCTCTGAACTGATCAATACTCTTCCCTTATAAACACCTTGGTGCAACACTGACTTGTGATATATTAATGTTACTTTGTTCCCTAAGACAGCAGGACTGTTGGCTGTAGACAACCTGATAGTTCCATTTGTATCATGTAAAATGGCTGACTATAGAGCCTTTAAAGGTGTAATGAACGAATGAGTACTTTCATCCCCAGGAGCAGGAGACCTCCATAGCAGCTTGTGCAAAAGGCAATATTCAGTAATAAAACTGCTCTCATTCCAATGAGAAAGAAAAAAGTATGACGATGATGCAATTAAATGCAAAAGTGCAAGCGAGCTGGACAAGAATGACGAAAATAATCCCTGAATAAGGGGTACAAAGGACAAACACAGCTTGGCGACTGGTGCTCGACCGAAAAAATCTGCCTGGTCCTGGTATCAAACAAGGGACCTCTCCATTTCCAGTGGAGCGCTCTACCAACAGTTGTCGAGCGCTCCACTGGTGCACAGTGAAGCCGATGGCAAAGGGCAACCCATTGCTTTTGCATCAAAGAGTTTGTCCCAAGCAGAACAAAACTATGGTCAACTTGACAAAGAGGCGTTAGGCTTGGTCTACGGGGTGGAATGGTTCCACCAGTACTTGGGGGGGGGGGGGGCCTTTTTTAAGCTTTCACGGACCACAAGCCGCTCCTCGGATCGCTGAGTGCCGACAAGCCAGTTCCTGTCCAGGCTTCACCTCGGCTTGTCAGGTGGGCTCTCAAGGTTTCAGTGTACAAGTACAAGCTGACCTACAAAAAAGGAAGGAATCTAGATCATGCTGATGCACTTGGTAGACTTCCATTACCTGGGAGCAACGTTGAAGAGAATGTGCCAGCTGACATCTTCGCTACAGCACGCGTATCCGAATCTCGCCCGCCGTTGTGGCTCAAGCCACAAAGAATAACACTGTTCTGGGACATGTCGTTCTTGCTGTCCTCGGAGGAGAGAACCACTGCACTAGCAATGCACTAGCAAAGAAATATAATACCCTTTTGTGGCTTCTAAAAAGTCGCAAATATGTTGATTGAAGAAAAAAAGTTTCACAACCACGTGACTTCCGCCAACTCTCTCCTCTACATTCTTTCTCCCCCGTCCAGTTTCAATTTCGAGCAGTTGCGTTTTTTTTTACTTTATTAAAAATATATGTGATGCTGCGGCAAAATATTCATTGGGTAGTCTTTCGACACCCTAATTAATCGCCTAACAAAAAACAAAAAAATTTTGGGGGTGTGTTACTGTTTCTTAAAATTTGTTGGGGAGAAATTGTGTTTAGCCTAACTGAAGATTGAAGCAACAACCGGACGTCCATCTTATCTTGCATGCAGCAAAATCTCGTTTTTGATAGCGTTGCAGAAGCTGGTGGCAGCGTGCTGAAGACACGTTTTCTACTCGTTCGTCATCATTCGCCGAAGAAGTTCTTTAACCCTTTCCCTATCCTCGACGACCTGGGTTCGTCCACATAGTTTGTACCGCTCTCCACGAAGGCGAGCTCGGCTCGTGTTTCTAGTTAGCTTTGCCGTGGATAGATGGCGCTTCACGGAAAATAAAAACATATTACATTTCTGAATTTGGTGGAAAATTGTTCCAATGCAGGCAACAGGAGATTTAAAAATGACGGCGTCAACTTCTGGCACGGGGTAAAGGTGGGTGAGGAGGAGTGGCAAATCCCGTGCGCCGACATCCAGGGTCCTGAGTGAAAGAACACGGAAGAGAGCGACAGAACACGAGAAAAAGAAACCAGTGTTGCCAGATGAAGGACGACAGTCGCAATGGTATTCGCGAAGACTAAAAACTCTCGGCAATACAAAGTGATAATTTAACACTGTAACAAAATTCTGAGCTGTTCAAATGCGTATAAAAAGCAACATGCACATTACGCCGCATTAACTTCCCTTCTGTCGAAATCTCGGAAATCTGGTGGTTTCGTGGTTTCATATTCCTGGGGCGCACCCACTCTCGCTCCACCCGCAAAGCCAGTTATCTGGTTTAGTTTAGCGTTGACTCGAGGCCGTACATCGGCACGCTAAGCAAAAAGAAAGCTTCGAAAGGAACGTGAATATCTTTCCACCGGTAAGTTTGTGGATTGTTGAAGTTCATGAAACTGCTCTGATGATATAACTATATTCGTGAAATTGAAGGCAGTTGGTAACCATGTGTGGGACCCCGAAGGTCTGCCTGCATGCTCATGCTCCGCCGCTTGCGGGGGCGGCAGCCAGAATGCATGGGAAAAGGGCGGACCTTTTCCTCTACAGGGTGATTCAAGGAGAGGCCAGGCTTTTTAAATTGACCACAAAATTTGGTTTCTTAACCTATCGTGCTACGACTTTGTGCAGCGTTACCCACAGATGGTGCGTTTTTGTTGTAAAATTTGCAAAGAGCGAACTTATCTGAGGAAAAAGTGAAGAAAGGAAAAGGGTTAGCTCCTATGGAAACGCAGCGAAGCCACTGGTCTTCACACAACACGGCGCCGTTTCGCACGGGAGACAGGAGATGGCGCAAGCGGTCGCAACGCCAACTGCCGCCAACGAACGAGCATATGACGCAGAGAGCCGGCGTCTTTAGCAGCTAGGCAAGGAACTGCAGTTCCTTGTTACCGCACCAGTTTTTGTTTTTGTGAATGTCACCGCCTGCGAAACGCGCCCCGCTTTTGAGTCTAAAAGATTGTCCGCCAAAGACGCTGGCTCTAGGCGCCGTATGCTCGTTCGTTGTGCCACCTCTTGTTTCCCGTGCGAAACGGCACCGCGTTTGAAGACCGGTGGCGTCGCTGCGTTTCCATAGGAGCTAAGCCTTTTTCTTTCTTTACTTTTTCCTCAGGCAAGTTTGCTCTTTGCAAATTTTAACAAAAAAATGCACTATCTGTGGCCAACGCTGCACAAAGTCGTAGCGTGAAACCTAATTTTGCGGTAGATTTAAATATCCTGGCCTCTCCTTGAATCACCCTGTAGAGTTAGTATGCATGATCTCTATGACTTCTGGTCGCTGCGTTCATAGGGACGATCTTGCCTCAAAATTGGGACAAAAATTAAGATATTGCGGTGTCTCCTCAGATTCGGAAGACGAGGAAATTAATCTTTCATCGGACAGCAAGAGCGATGCATCCGAGTTATTGGATTTTAGCTCAGATGACTCAGATTTCGATGAGGACATTATGTCGGCATTGGACTAACGTAAAAAATCCCCTTCCGACCCCGCCGCGTTTTGTGTTCACTTTGCGTGCAAGGTGATGTGAACTGCCTGCAATGCTGCTACGCTCGGCCTGAACGTCCATGTGCAAGGTGATGTGAACTGTCTGCAGTAATGCAGTGAAGCCGAACTTTAGTCCCCTTTTCTTTTGTAGCGTGTTCAAAGATCTCTCATAATAATTTTTTTTTGGCCTTTGTATTGCATAATAAATTTATGGGGCACAAAAAGAAAATCTTTATTTTCAAATAGTTTTTTTGCAAAATTTTCGCAGTAGGGAACGGGTTAAAGGAGCTGTGCAACGATTTATTGTTGAAAGAATTGGCATCTTCTACTTTTGACATTGTTCATCTTGTCAAAAAGGACAGAAAACGCACCTCGTTCCTTCAAAACGTTGCGATTCCGCCGTGTAATCACGAGGCAAAAGTTAGAATATTCCCCGACCTGCAGCCGCGAGGCAAGAGGAGGAAAGGCACATGGAGCAACAGAGCGGGCGTCTGCTCTAGAGGCAACATTGCGCATATCCTTTCTCAATCCTCTCCCTCAGGCACCGCCATTAAATTGCAAACGCTCTCCAGGTTTTGAGTTGCGGCCACCCTCACTAAAGCCTCCCTATTGGGGAGGAGCGACCGTAACACCCCAAGCAGTTAACTTTAGAACTACATGGATGGGGACAGCAAATACAATGACTCAGCGCTCGGCCCACATAACTGAATGCGGCGTCAGCGTTCGGCTGGAGTTTGTGTTCTCCGGTGAGGGAGAGGAGGGGCTCTTTTGTTTCCACTCCGGCCTGCATGAACAATGCAGCATGCATTGTTCATCCATCAACATCTAGAGCAGGGGTGCACAACATGCGGCCTGTGGGCAATTTCTGTGTGGCCCGTGTATGGGTTTAGGACAATTCGTCGAAAGCCCATTTGTCGATGAAGAATTCGTTGAATGGGGAAATTCCCACTAGGCGAATTCGTCGAACGGGAAACTTGTCGAAGCAGCCCGTCCGCAAAAATATTCGTCGAGAGAACTACAAAAAAGTTGGAGCGATGTGCCTAGGAGGAAATCTCGGCACGGTTTGCAGACTTACAAATGCAAATATGATTATCGACATTGAGAAAAAGAGCGACGATTTACAAACATTCCTCAGTGTAGCCTTTTTGTAAATTCGTGACTAAATGACGACGCTAAGAAATCATGTAGGTAAAAAAAAATAATTGCAAGTGAGCTTTTTCTAGTTCCGTACAAATTTTGTCTTTACGAAGTTGTAGAAAGAATAATTGCGAAAACAGGTTTTATTGTTCTCTTGCTATAGCCGTGCCTTCGAGGTTGTTAGCCGATGTAGCCTTGCAGACTTTTCTTTGGTGACAAATCCAGTACGCCGTGGTGGCTGTACCAACAGCAAGGTGGTGTTGGTTGTACGCGTATTACAAGTCTACATATAACCATCCAGGATCAGAAAATTAGCCCTTCACTCTGTCTTCCCAAATTTCATGACAGAGGCGAGTGAACGTCTTCATGCAGAGCCCGGCTTTTATGATTTTGAACGATCCGAAATTTCCCGATTCACTACCGGAGCCTTGTAAATTCTGAAAACTGTATTAGTAATCGTTTATTTTTGGCAAACAGGGTCCCATTGTTGACCCCCAACGTCCCCGGGTAACTCTAGACACCCTGTGCAACTCTTTGCGACCGTTCGACCTAGTTTGACTAACGGGCACTTTCGCCCAATTCTCCATTCTGCGAATTGGCCTACGGCAAGTTGCCCGATTCGACGAATTGTCCTTCTTGGAATTGTGCGTCGACCAATGGGCTTTCGATGAATTAGCTGGATTTGCCTGCGGACGTGACTCTGCGAGATGTGCTCAGGACGGCAACCAGTGCGATGATGCCAGATATTGATAACCTGTTCCCAATAAACATTTTTTTGGCCCGCGTCATTTTTAAGTTGTGCATGCCCTGATCTAGAGTATTCACAAAAAGTTGTTTATTTACGCAGCATAGTTATTTTTTTATAAATTTTTTTCGGTCCACCGATGTTGAAGAAAAGGTAGAGGTTCAAGCACCTTGAACGCGTTTTTCTCCGTTACAATTTTCTGCATAAATTTCACTTTAGGAAAACTATTGTTTGGTAAGGGGCCAAAGGAAAAGGATCTCTGTTTTTCTTAAGTGGAATTTGATGGGCAGTGCAGCTGTGGCATTGTTTTTTTACTTTGTGGATGTCTTTTATAAAATATGTTAAGATTCTGTCGACAAAATAAAAGGCAAGAAATTCATTTGATTTTTCAGCCGAGATGTTAGCGTAAAATAATTTACTTTGCGGAAACTTTGTTTCCACAGCTGCACTCTCTAGGCATTCTGCTGCATGTCTAGCGAAGAAAAATGTTGGTTATTACATTATTTTTCTACGATAGTTTTCCTAAACAATGTCAATGTATTCCTGAAAAAACCACTAATTTCTTTCAAAATCCATGTACACAGATGAAAATTTGCACTGCATTCTGCCTTGCAACGGCCAGTATATACTGTAAATTTCAATAGTATTAAGCTGAAGGTTAAAAAGCGGAGGCTTTTGGGTAGTGTCATCCCTTAGGAACTTCCCATTCTCACCGGACAATACCTTTAACAGTTTCACTAGTTGCGACGTGAGCATGCCATTTTGCCCTTAATCAGCTACGAAATTGCCATTACGTGCTCTCGATTGAATTGTATATTGTACCAAACGTGTTCTTTTAGTTGTATCTTTAATTTTGATTAAATTGTACAACATGTCAAACCAAGTTTTTTTTTTTTCCTTGAGCTGCAGTTTTGTGTTATTGTAGAAGGCCGGGATCCCATCGAGCTGTTTTACAGCAGTTCTTTCCAGTTTCCCCTTCATTCATTTGATAAGTTATTGTATTGCGTAGGGCGAAGAATGACGTCCCTGCAATGTGAAATTCTAGCATCTTGGAAGTGAGAAGTTCTTATTTTCACGAGCACAATGCCACCCACACAAAAATACACTGTTAGTGACACTCCCTTTATTCTCAGAACATCAACTTGTTTATTTGACACATTTGTCGCTCTAACCTTCAAAAGCGTTAAACAAAACTGATACAGTATTCAATTTGAAGCACGAAGCAAACATAGTGGCATCACGTGATCCGAGAGTTTTATCAATAATAAGAAACTGTAAAAGGCACTGAAGACAAGTTCCAATGCAATCATTGTCAGTCACAGGTTTTAGCAAACTTATGTGTGAATGTCATTTGAGCAAGCAATCAAAAGAAGCCAATTTTATGTTAAGACTTAAACATAATGTCAGAAGGCTGCAATGTGAGTAGGTGCGACACGCCGCTCTTTGCAGCAGCGTGCGCAGTCAACAATCCCATAAACAAGTGTGCAAGGAGGGAATTGCCATCACGCCCCCTGGTCCTCCACACCCGCGCTAGACCAGATGATGGAGGAAAGGGAACACGCCCATTTCAGACTTATATTTTACGTCAAAGCCAAGACTCTGTGCATATGTTTCGTCAGTCAGGAGACACTTTAGTGTGCCACCTGTGACAATGCAAATTTTGAGATAGACCAAACTTTCAAAATCATTGTAGTCATTATGGCCCACTGAGTATGCATATATTCTTCTATTTTCGTTTTTATCGAGCACATTATTTTAGAAATTCGAACAATAAAACCACACAACGATTGTAGGGCACGGCACAACATAGGGTATATCCAAAAATTTGGATTGTCCCAAACAAAAAAATACCATTTTTTTTAAAATAACGAGCCATTAATATTTGTTTTTGTCTCAACACTACTTATGACAGAAGCGGCAGACAACGGGCCAATTATTCCCGCGACCTCTCGATCCGACCGCGCGTACAACCATGTTAGTTTCTATACACCTTCGTTCCAACCCTAAAACTATCTGCGAGCGCTGCGTAAAAATATGACTCCGATATACAACACCACGCAAGAAGGGCCAGGTCACACTGAACAGGTGTGACCTGGCAGAAATGTGACTGGTCAGTTCAATCTCAATGACTAGGCCCAAGCCTGACCACTGGGGGCGTTCGGTTTTAAAAAAGATGGATGACGTGCAAGCATGTGGCAGTCTTGCAACGGTTGAGCAGCAGGTACCACCGAAGAGCGATGGCGGCAGCAAGGTCAGGTTGCGGGTTCGTACAACTGCAGCAAACTCTTCCTCCTGAAATAACGGCAGCGGCATTCCACTTTAGACTCGTAGGTTTCTCCACACCAAGGAGCGTCGACGCTTGGCATCCACGCCGGTGACCAAGGTGTCATCCCTGGCACCGTTCGCCTTTTTTTCTTTTTTTTCCTTTTAAGATTGTTTTGCAGTCCCATATTGACTGAGCTACACATTTTGTGTTTACACGGCTTCCGAAGTTGGTTGGCCCTGTGAAGCTACCGCTTTAAAAATAAACCCACTAAAAACACCCCTTAATTCAAAGTCAAATAAAGGCAGAAAACATGAAACCCTAGTGATAAGCATTTCACATAAAGTACTGAAGTAAAAAAATAAAGAAAAAAGCCCTGCCACACGTGACAGCCAGAATCATTTGTTTGAGGTCGTGACTTGCTACTCAACTTCGGCAAGAAAAATGTTGCTAAAAGCTGCAGTACTGGAACCAGGACGAAAACCAATTACGGTACTGGAACATTTAAAGGACTACAACAAAGGGTGAGTTGTAGTCAATTACAGACCAGAAACAATAATCTGTAGCATCTTTTAGATTTCCAGCATAAGAGTGGAACCTCAAACCAAACGGCTTGAACTCAGGGCACCATCGAAGAGAACACAACGACGCCAGAGGCAGAGCAGCCAAATCAAAACTTTGGCTTTGGCTAGTCGGTCCATATGCGGAGATGGAAGCGGCATTTGAGCTTTTTCGTTAAGGGTTTTGTAGCAGGCCAATAACTGGTTTGGAGCAGCCACTGATGCTTTTGAAGCAGATGCCACCAACATCTGTCGGCACATCACTTGAAGATGAAAAAGCGATTGCATCGCAAAACGAGTTCATATTTGATGATTATTGAGGGTTCCTCTTGATACTAAAGCATATTACTTATAACTTTTTTTGTAAAAAGAATAGATTACAAAAGGTACACGGAGCCTTCTTTTGAGAAATAAGGCTCTGGTCAGAGTCGCATCCATTTACAATGGGTACAAAAATAATGGTTGAAAAATTAATCATAGTGTGACACTCCAGTTGGGATAAAGACTCCTCCCCCTTACTTTTACATCTGGTAGTTTATTTAGCCTGTAAACAATTTCTGTAAAACGCCAGAAAAACCAGCATGTCAGCTAACACATCTATCAATAAAAATATGACCTGCAAGTTTTATGAACTTATAAAACTTAAGGCTCTTATATTATACTCTGTAAAAACAACCACCCACAGATATTGTGAAAACCTACACTTCTGCTTTAAAAGTGACACTGCTCTTTAGCGGCGTTGAAACTAGGGTGAAGTCAAAGTTTGGTGCTCTTTTGATCGACAGCTGCACGGAAACAACCTTGACTACCGTATTTATTCAAAAACAGACCCGCATTTCGTTTTTCTTTCTCGACGCAGCTTTTTAAAATGAGGGATCAATCGAGACAAAAAAGAAAAAAGGCTCGAGGCACACCTAAGCATTTCTTATGAGTTATGAATGCGAAAGCACGAACGCCGCTCTTCGCTCCCTTCTTTCGTCTGCTGTGCACGGCGCGCTGACCTTGGGCGTGGAACGGTGGAGCCGCTGCCTCGGGTGAGCGATCATTCAAACTGATAAGCAGTGGCCAATGGGAGCCTCGTCGACGCGCGCCAGCCAATGGGATTGAAGCCGAAAAAAAATGACCGCATCTCCACGTGGTGAATGATGTTGATTGGGGCGAAGCTCAAGTGGTGCTGGTGATACGGATTTTGTTCATAGGCAGCGGTGATGGTGCTGATATTTTTTTTATTGCTCATAGGTAGTGCTGAGTTCCGGGTTGAGTTTCGACTTCATTATTACTGCTTTATGGTCGGCGAAACGCAGAGCCAATGGTTCTTCTAACGGATCAGCTTGGATCCGCTAGAAGCCGTGGGAATGCATCTCCACCGCTTAAGTCAACAGTCCATGTCAGAAAGAGAATCTGTGCTACGAAATGTGGTCATATACGCAATTGAGCACTTGACCGCAGTGCCCTCTCGTCTATAAACGTTGAGCCAATGCCTGCAAAGTTTAACGCGATTATATACGCATTTGACCGCAGTGCCCTCTCCTGTATAGACGTTGAGCAGCTACATGCAATGTTTCATCCATGACATCCCCAGCTCTTGAGTTACTACCACATCTCAGAGCCCCCCCCCTACTCGTCCCGCAGTCGTGGCCAATGGTTAAGGCGATGGACTAGAAATCCATTGGAGTCTCCTCGCACAGGTTCGAATCCTGTCGACTGCGCAAACATTTTTTCTTTTTTCAAGAAGACAGATGGGATGGCAATCGATGTGAGCACGGACGCCGGACAGACAAGGCTAGACCCTAAGGAGCTTCGCCCCTAAAATCATCAGCTTTACTTCGCTCCTTTGGGACCGGGGAAACTAGGTGCCATGTCTAGGCTTTTCGCGTGGTTTCATAGCTGGGAGCTGGCTACATTTGGAGAAAGGATTTAAGGTGCCGTTTTCGCGCTTCAAACTGATGACGTCGGCTCGCTTTATGAGACAGTTAATGCTTTCGCATAAAAAGAAGGTAGACCTGTAATTCTACTGAGCATAATTTCCAAGCCTAACGCGCCAACCCAGGCCCTCACCCATGTCAGCCGCTGCTCCTAGCACTCTGGTGCAAAGCACTGAAGCTCAACGCGCAAGCGCTGGTAAGAGGCAGTGAGAGGTGGTACAAAGGCATGCAGCAGGCGTGATAATCAAGTGTTCTCATCAGCAGTACAAGACCCTGGATTTGTCTCATCACAGTAGTCACCATCCAACTATTATGGAGTGTTTTCTTGCGACTTTTAGCTCCTGACATCGTCGACATTGTCTGGAAACTTAGACAATGTTGGCAACCCACCCACCAGTGCAGCAACCGGCCGGTGCGTTCGACGAGACATCTCTTTGGTCTGCTTCATCTTAATTTAAAATGCAGCCAGTGCTAAAAGCAATGGAACCAAAAAGACAGCAATAAAGCTTGACATCATGGCATTCGTCCGTCTTTCTGGACGTGTTTTTTTGTGGACTAAATCAAGTGCTGTGAATGTCATGTGACTTCTGCTTGTAGTATGCGTGTTCGTGGCTGTACGTGTTCGAGCCTTTGTCTGTGCTCCGACCTAAATGAAACAGGCTATACAGTGACTGAAGGCGCTGTGAAATACATATTCGAACCAGTTTTTTTGCCTCCTACTTCTCTGCATATTAAAAAAAGCATGACACCCGAAAAGTCCCTTTTTCTTTTTTTTTGTCTGAAACGATGCAAATTGTAGTCATAAACACGAAAAAAAATACCACACACACAAAAAAAGAAATTTCCCCACGGGTGTGCACATCTTTTTATCTGGTGTGTTTTCTCTCTTCTCACCTCATCGCTTCTTTTTATTTCCGACATAATTGAATATGAAATTTAGAAGCTTTGTAAGCGACATTTCTGTCATATTTATTAACGGCATTCGTAAGAAATGTTTTTTAACGTAATTGCAAATGCACTACCGCCCTTCTTTTTGTAATACCGAAAATCAGAGTCCAGAGTTACGTTGCCTCCTGGCTTTTATCCCTCGGAAAACGTGGCGGTGTGGCGCCGCTCAGCACATGTAGCACTGAGGATGATAGGTGAGTCGAGGAATCGTACGAAGGTTTCTTTTTTAGGTGCCCAACGACCTCTGACTTCGAAAAAGAAATCATCAAACGGTCAAAACAACTGAGTTTGGCATCTGTGTACCTAGTTTCGGTTGTGACTCTGCCGGGGCAGCCTTTCACCAGACGGATAAAGCACTAAATGTTTCGATTCCACAAATCATTTTCAATCGTTTCGGATAATACAAGAAAACATGATTTTGACTTCTCAGTTAAGGTCGATCAATAATAAAATGTTTTTATTTTTTGCTTCACTTAAGCCTATCTTGGAGCAAATGTGGTGCAATTCTTAGCAAAAATGGCACTTCAGTGCAAGATGTAGCAGATTTTTGTTCATTGCACAATTTGGTGCAAATGGCACAGCACTTCCATCACTGATGATGATAAAATGTTAAAAAGCGCAAACGCGGCGAGCCCTAAGGGCCTGTCCATGTCGTTCGGATTTTCTGTTCATCCTCGTCTCTTTAGTGCTTTTTAACCTTTTACCAACCAGATCAATTCTCCGCAGTTTCTTAGCTATTAATTCACGTCTGAACCAATCCAACGTTGACAGCCTCGTGAGGCACAACGACCCAAGCAGCTTACCTGTCCTCCAGGCGGCGGCATTTGTCACAGGCACCTGGCACAAAGCAGGCACGGTGGAAACATGCTTTGCAGCCTGCCAAAGAAAAAGAAGTGATGAGTTTAGACAGCATGAAGTCGGTTCGCTTTTGAGGTATAGCAACACTAGTTTACGCTGTAGATGAAAAACTTAGTCAGTGCAGTACCACTGCTATAGCCTGGGGTCTTTAACATGCGCCATGCAGTAGTTATAGATGACCGCACGCCAGTTCAATGCTCATCCAAATTGAAACGGGCAGGGGTGGGTTTTGAACCCAGGGTTTCTAGGTTCTGCGGAGCAAGCTTTTACTCCACGTGCTCCGAGCTGCGGTGCACTAACACGCTCGGCCACCAATCCCCAATCTACATCTACCACATCAAGATGCTCGTCACTTTGATTGCTCATCGAAGCTTTGACACCAGAAGAAATGCACGAGGATACTTTTCAGACTAATGTCAGAGGGATCAACCAGTAGGTTGCAGCTCCTCAGTGAACTGCACAGGAGGTCATATCAAAGTGGACTTGGTAGGCCTGCTTTCTAAGATTGAGCAACCCATAGGTGACCCAGTGACGGCCCACAAATGAGTCTGGCAGGAACAGGTGAAACTCCCAAACACAAAACCCATGTGCACAGCCCTCAAACTAGACCCACTAGTGAAAACGTCTAGGTGCAACCTACAGTTAGACTCTAATGCCAGTCCTGCAGTCATAGTGCACACAAGAACTTTACAGACACGACACAAAGATGACACTCAGAGTTGCAAGCAACAGGCGCAACCTAGAGCCACTAAATATCCCCAGAACAGCACCTTCCATTGCATCCAAATAGACTAGAGAATCGAGTCAATTGTAGTTTCTGATTGGCTGAAACCAACCATATTGAGGCTGGGAGAAATAAAAGTAAAAAACTGAACTACTACTATATAATATGTTTACATGATGGGGGCTCTTGACACCTGATGAATTACAAACAGTTTGAAGGTCATGCACATGTTGGTCTTCCCTAGGGCTTTTCACCGCATGCTTACGAATCTGGGAAAAGCCTTTAAAGTGACCGCACAAACCCGCTTGGCAACATATTGCACTACAAATAACCACAGAGAGGCTTGAAAGTGGTGGAAGCACCGCATGAAAATTTCAAGAAACAAATTTAATTAAATAAAAGCAAAAAAAACTTTTTTTTATGGCACTTGTCTTCTACCCACATACCCCTGCCTGAAGCAACCGATAAATGGCAGCAGCGGCCCCGGTGTCGGCTCACGCCATTGCCAAACGTCTGCCCGCAACAGTCACTGACAAGGTAAAACGGCAGGGAGGAGGTTCAGTTGTCCTGCCTCCAGTGTGAGCTTCTTACCTTCGATACGCTCCAGCGTCTCGTGCTCCTCGAACGCGTGCGGTCAAAGTATGGCAGAAGGCGTGGAGCACATGATGGAGGCCGGAGGTGCCGAAGATACCCCTTGCCGCTCTTACTCATTATATCGGACAGCAGCTTACGCCACCTAGCTCAGAAACGTTTCTGCCCCTCCCTTTAAAATCTTGCTTGGAACTTTCATTCTCATTCGTCCGTATAACTCATTAATTTTGTGCGCAATTCCACACTTCCCTAGATCCGTTCCACCAGTCTTCTAACCTCCTTCTTGTGATTGTAGGGCCCTTATCATCTGTTCTTCCATTCTCATCTGCAAATCACCGTGCTTCGGCCAAATCTGCTGCCCCCTCGAGGGGGACGGGAGTGAGCCCCGCGCATTTCAATGCTACCACATGTTGTATAGTCTAATTTCCCTTTGGTATACTGCACACCGCATATTCACTTCCTCTTACCTTACCCTACATGTCTTCACTGGCAAGGTGAGAAGAGCATGGAGTCTTGTTTTGAACACACCACCTCCATCACGTGCTCGCTGACTCCTCACAAGCATTGGGAAAGCAGGAAAATCATGCTAGAAGTGGGACAATTGAAGTTCCTCCCTGCTGTTTTCTCTCCATCTGTGACTACAGTACTTTGTACCCCCATTCTAGCCTTGTATAGGAAAGAGCTCGAGTTCACCTTGGCACTGTGTGGTGGTGGCCAGCTGAAAGGGGAACAGCAGGTCCTTGGGCTCCCTGCAGCGCTCGCAGATGAAGGCCTTGGCTGTGCACAGCGGGCAGGACAAGCAGTGCTCCTCGCAGTCCTGCCGCAGAGAGCGCAGCCGCCCCACCAGGGGGCCTCCCATGCGCACCTGCCATAGCTCCTCCAGCGAGTACACATGAGGCTCGGACAGCAGGTGGGGGGGTAGCTGCTGCAGCTGCTGCTGGAGGCTGCAGAGAGACAGATTAATTGACGAGATAGAAGCAATATGAAACCAAAGTGCTACATGCACTTTGAGTAACCATCATTCCAGACAGCAATGGACCCACAACAACTGTAGCTGCCCGCTGAAGGCTGAGCAATACAAACAACTCGCAAGATAGAAGCAATACGAAACCGGAGTGCTACGCGCGGCTTAAGTAACCATAATCACAGATGGCAGACGATCTGGCAAGCAGTTGCTACCACAGACTGAGGAACAGAGACAGACCATACAATGGACAACTCCGCCGGCACGCGCACGCGGCCCGCAACAGGTTTGGAGTCTCGCCAAGGTCGTCGGTCGCCCAGAGCGTTTTTTTGCTTTCGCTTTGAGATGACAAATAGCGCCAGGCTCGCATTTTTTTTTTTTTCTTTCATTGCTGAGGCGGTGGAGCATCGACCGCAGCAGGCCGGGGAGCTTCATTCGAGCGTGCGTTTTGAGCGGAGCCGTTTCTGCTGTTACTGAGCTCGAGGGCACGTGCTTGTTTTGTTTTCATGCTCGTTTGCGGTGGTGAAGTGAGATGTCTTGCAAGCGCAAAGCACTGTCTTTTAAAGAGAAACTGGACATTCTCCGGAAGGTGGGTGAGGACCCCAAGAAGAAGCAGACCGAGTTGGCGAAAGAGCTAGGCCTCGTGACATCAACGTTAAGCACGATCGTTGGACAGCGCGAACTCATCATGAAGAACGCCCTTCAATGTTAACGCGAAGCAAGCCAAGACGGCTCAACACATTAAGCTTAAAGAAACTTTGCTTACATGGTTTAAGGAAGTAACAGCTGCTGGTGTAAATGTCGACGGCAAAGTTATGCGCGAGAAAGCCGACGAGATAGCACTGGCCTTGCAAATTGATGGATTCCAGGCTTCAGGTGGGTGGCTGCACCGTTTCAAGACGAGACATGGCCTCGTATACAAAAGCGTCTGTGGAGAATCGAAAAAAGCTGACGAGACAGTTATGAACGACTGGCTTGTCAAGACACTGCCGTCTCTCATCGCAGGCTTTGAGCCTCGCAATGCTTTTAATGCAGACGAGGCAGGTCTGTTTTTCAACCTGCAACCAGAGGAAAGCCTGTGCCTAAAAGGTGAACCATGCCATGGGGGCAAAAAAAGTAAGCAAAGAATTACTGTTCTATTTTGCTGCAACGCCGACGGATCTGAAAAACTTAAACTGACGGTAGTCGGAAAGTTTCAAAAACCCCGGTGCTTCAAGCACGAGAACCATCTGCCGTGCGTGTATCGCGTAAACAATAAGTCCTGGATGACGGCAGGGCTCTTTGAAGAGTTTTTGTCGCTACTGGACAGAAGGATGGCCCTCCGAAATAGGAACATTATCCTCTTTCTGGATCAGTGCGCCGCCCACCCCAAGCAAGTACCACTCCAGAACGTGAAGCTGGTATTTTTGCCTGCGAACACGACCATGCACCTACAACCGCTTGATGCTGGACTGATTCAGAACGCCAAGCATCATTTCAAAGGTCTTCTTGTGCGTCGCCTTCTCGCGAAAATTGACCGGAAGGATGACGACTTGCGGATAAGCCTGCTGGACGCTATCCACTTCCTCGCCATGGCATGGGACCGAGTCACACTGACAACAATAGCAAACTGCTTTGCCAAGTGCAGCTTTTTTAAGAGTCCCCCAGAGGTGTCCCCTGAGCCAGAAAATCCGGAAATTGAGGATTGGGACCGCCTTGATGCCGGGTGCACCGCTGATGATTTTTGCTCAGCGGACAACAACCTAGCCACTTGTGGTGCGTGCACGGTGGAGGACATTGTTGGTGAGACCACATGCGAGGCTGCAGATTCTAGTGATGACGGCAACGGCGAAAACGAGGGTGACGACGAGCGACTACCACCACCGGCAGCTGAAACGCTGCATGCACTCGACATTCTCAGGCGCGCTATGGGCGCACAAGAAATCGGCGAGGACACGTGCACGCGTTTTTATGCGTTCGAGCGAAGTTTGTTGGCAGACCTCGCGAAGAAGAAATCGCAAAAAGACATTCGAGATTTCTTTGGTAAAAAATAAATAGAGCTTTTCTGTGTGCCTAGGTAAGTTTTTCAGTGTGATTTTTTTGTTAATTTAGCTAGTTTCGGATGTTTGGGTAATACAAATTTCGGCTAATACGAATATTTTTGGTGACCCCGCGAGATTCGTATCATCGAGATTCTACTGTATAGGCACATCCGATTTTCCTTCACTATTTTCGATCAGCGTGAAAGTACTACACGGACGACAGTGCGTGTCACGTGGGTGCATGAGGAACACACGAGTAAGGGTGCAGCTCCATCTATAAATACACTGTCCAGAAGCATGTCGGAAGTGTTGGATGAGCGAGAAGTGTTTAGGCAAGAAGAGAATGAGAGGGAGGAAATAAGAGAGGGGAGGGCAATCTCCCTCCCCTTCTTTCGAATTGTTTACTAGGCTTCGGTTCACGCTTAGTGTATGATGCTGTCAAAGCTACAGGCACAAGCACGTGGCTTCCTATCCAGCATCTCATTTGCACGAGTCCGTGCACATCAAATGGTAAATCGATACGCAAGCTAGCACCAGCACCTTTTGGTAGTGTCGTACGCTACGTATGAAATGCACTATACAAATGTCTCAAACATGTTTGACTATTTTGATGCCACCAATGCTGCCACACACACCTGCTGCCCACTCTATGGTCTCATAGACATTCTCTCTTTCTGATGCGAAAACACCACTGTTAAAGCGTCGGTGCATCGGTGTTATCGAGACGCTCGCGCAGTGGCCATGCACTCATGAAAGGAATGCATGAGAGGCTAGTTCTCTTCTGGGTTCCATGCAGTGTAGACTCGCACTTGATACATGGTGTCGAAACCCAATCGATGCTAGAACCAAACTAAGTCTAACGTGGAATACAAAGCTGCTCAAGCCTCCGGAGGGGCTATTACTGTTGGGTAACATGGCAGACAACCGGTCGAAATTCATACAATGTACAGTGTAGACCGCATATAACGTATGTCTCGGGAGTCGCGAAAATCCGCACTATAAGCGGTACCGCACTATAACCAAAACATAAATTTTTCAGGCCAAAATACATGCCATGAGACAACTTACCTTTGTAAAAGAATTTATTTTATGTTAGATGAAAAAATAAGCTTAGTTTGAGGAAAGTCTTTATTTCAATAGACTAGCACAGTTATGTCTCAAGTGTGTCACACATTTTAAAAGAAATTAGCGGCTTTTGCCTGGCGCAGCCTTTTAACGGCGTCGCGGGTTGCGGACGGACGTTGCGAGCGTTCAGGATTGCTAACCCTAATCACTTTTCTCCAAGATAAAAACGCGTGAAAATTCGCATCCTTCATACGTACGCGCCAGTAATACCTCGAACTTGAGCACACGCATGAAATGCGCCAAATAAGAATTCCGGGTGATGTTCGAGGACACAAATGCTTAGAAATCACCACTGTAGTCGAAGTAAACAAACACGACGACACGGGCGTTTCTGCCGTCTTGAGAGCGCCGCCACGACATCGCCGCAAGAGTAGGTGGATCTTCCCTTCTAGTACGTGCTGGGTTATCATAGCGACACACAACGAAAATTCAGAGTCAAGGATAGCGCTTTTACGCGGAACGATGAGATGCACGCCGTCTACGACGACGATCACAACCGACGCCATGTTTGCGGAATAGAAGCAGCCGGCCGGCCGGCCCGCGACTGGAGGAGAAGAGACGCGCGCGAACACTTCTCCTCGACCTGCGATTGGTCTGTCGTTGCGGTTGTTTGTTTCTTTGTTTCCAACGCAGCGGAGGGACGCACGCACGTGAACGACTCGTGCGTGCGTCCCTCCGTCGCTATGGCAACTGAAGCCTCTCTCTTCGCTTCTCCCCGTGTTTTCGAGCAACCTCCTTGCCCCGCGAGTGCAGCTTGCGGCTCGCGCCAACGCTCGCGCCGTCAGCGCCGTTATCTAGTGTCGCACAGGGAAGCGAGCTCGCTGCTCCGGTCGTCGGCGCGGTCGGCGGGCTGTGCCAAAAACCGCACTATAACCGGTATTTCCCTTCGCGCGCCTGCATTTTAAGCGGTATTTAATTACATGGAGTTCTATGGGAGGTGAACCGGTGGTTTAAAAAAACCGCGTTATACCCGGTCCTGCACTATAAGCGGTTACGTTGTAAGTGGTCTATACTGTACCAAGTTGTTCTTTGAAACAATAACGTCTGCCACGGCCCAGGCAAAAAGACAAAGTGCCTATTTTGCTGCATGTGGAGGGAGCCGAGGTTGGACGGAAGGACTTCTTCAAAAGGCCTACTGTAAAATCTCTAGAAATGCCCCACCCCTGAAAGGTAAACCCCCCATTTTTGGCTCTATTTGCTTTTTTTCTTTTACACATCATAATATAGCCCACTCTTAGTAATCACAGTGTTGGAATCAATAATGACCTCGTTATAAATGCGTCTAGTTAGCTATGGCGGGATATGATAGAACAGTGCCGACTGGGAAGTACAGTATTCTTTGCTTCAATGCCCTTTGCCGCGATAACAAGTTTGACAGGGACGCGTGATCTAAAAATATTTTTTTTAACTTTTCTTGATTGCACACCGAAAATAAGTTTACTTCTTATTTTCACCAAATTTTTTCTCGATTTTAAGTGGGCCATCTCTCCGGATAAAACGGTACTCACCTGTCGGCCTGACGACAGCAGCGGATGTATTGTTCGAGAGGCCCCAGAGCCAGCCGACACTGCCTGGCCTTTTCAAGCGACCGCACCCGCGAGTAGAGTGCTGAGTTGACGTCCCTGATGTTGAAAAGTGGGGCCGGCGCCATGCGCTCCAGGAGGTCCCGGGCGAAGTTGGACACCGGGTAGAGCCCAAAGTCCCAGCGCTCCAGCACCCTACCCGGGATCATGGCACGCGCGTCGCTGTGGCAGCAGCGGCAGAACAGCTTCCCCAGGTAGGAGCAGTAGCGCAGGCGGCCCAGCTGCCCTGCGTGCCCCAAGCTCCGATTCAGTTCGAAAGCAGACCCAAGGAGGGGATGTTGCTGGCGTAACCACATTGTCACATTCCCTCAAACTCCCCGACTTTCCCAGGTTTTTGCCTGTTACAAGCATTCATGCAAAATGAAATAAGGAATGCTGAAACAGTAGTCTGGAATAATACGCTATTCAACATTCGCTTTGAGACGAACTGGGACAGGGAGTGTTGATCGGGGCGGGGTTAGCCCCATTGAGTGCGCTTCCTACCGAGCACGGGTGCACTGCAGAGAAGCAACACCCGCAAAAGTGTCCTTCGCGGGAGTTGCCTCCCCGCAACGTATCGGTGCTCTGCAAGTGCACCGGCACTCCTACCCAGGGAAATGATTCAAAGGGGCTAAAACTCGCGACAATCAACATTTGGAAAACTATGAAAGTATGTGCATAGGAGAAAAGCACACTTTCAAAGTGGGATGGCGGACGGGCACACCTGGTGCATATAAAAAGAAACAAATATTTTGTGAATGGTGATACCTGCATATCAGTAAACTTTTAAAAATTAAACTGTGGCTATTATGTGGGAGTATATATTAGGCAGAGACGCCCTGACAGCCTGCATTCATCATTCGTGTTTCTTTGTTTTTAGTTCCAGATTGAAGAAAGGATATTTGCTTATTTAGCAAGATTTACAAATCCCCTATACGTAGCTGGGAATCTCTAAAGGTTCAATTTTATGTCAAATCTGTCATTTACGTGCCATCTCAGTGTAAGCAGTGGACTTTCTGAGGCCACAGCCCATAAATATAGCTAGATTAAAATTAGTTTAGAAAGAGACAAGTTGAAGCTTCGGAACAACCATCACGAGTTCAGTTTGGTCTTCATGGTCCAACAGTAGTGAAAGGCTTGGAGAAACTATTCTATATTCAGTTCGAAGATATCCGGCAAAAAACACCGTTCAGTTCGTATTTGCTTCGAATTCAAAATCCACTCTACCAATGCCTACAAAATATTAAGCAAGATCTGTAAAAGGCTAGGGCATTATAAAAATTAAAGGGAGATAAATTGGTGGACCTTTAGGGAATGCGTTAGCACGACCCTTTGGAAACGCCACACATGTCTCGCCTTTGGAAACGCTAACGCTGACCCCTTCACTTTTCCGTTTTGGCTTCCTCTTTTGATTCCTCTATTTTTTGCTGCCTCTTTTTCACTTCCTTGCAGGGTCAGCATTAGCGTTTCTCAAAGGGGGACGTGTGCGGGGTTTCCCAAGGTTCATTGCTAATGCATTCCCTAAGAATCCACCAATGGATCTTCCTTTGATTTTTGTAGCACAAACCAAGGCATATGCACTATGGACACCTGCAAGTTCAGACTCTCGGGCTCGTCTCAGCATCCGCGTGTGCATTGGCTTCTGCCCCATGATGTCGCCTCCCCCTCACCTTTGTCCTTTACTACTCTCCTCTTCTTGATGTGGCACGATCCCCTTGTCACTGTTTTGCCCACAGAAGGACGCCATCAGCTTTTCCCCGTCATGGGGTACTAATGCGAACGCATTAATAAATGTCCCCAAAAAGTGCAATGCAGAACTGTAACATGCCAAGTTGAATTTGAGGGTAATCATATACAAATTCATGTTCCCCCCAAAAATTCAGTGGTTCCACAACTGCCGCGAGGCCGCTATCGCCTAAAGCTCCACTACGTCAAGCGCTTCAGATTCTCTATCGAAAGAAGAGCAGATCGCTCGCCTGGAAAGCCACCGCTGAGAACAGAAGCTACAGCTCCGCTGCTCTTCCTTCTTCACCAGAGTGGAAAGGCTGAAAGTTTCTTTTTCTTTTTTTTTGTTTTGAGCCAGGGTGAGAATTTTTTTTGGCCACACTGCCTTCTCAAGCCTATCCTAGGGTGCCTTCATGTGCGCTTCGCATAGAGTCATGCGAACTGCCTGTTTCCCTTTCCCACACCCTTTTCCACCGCCATTTTGTTCCTCTCATTGTTTCCCCGTGCGCCGGAAAGTGGCCTTTGTGTTTATCGGTCCTTCCATCCGAGGGGGGAAACGCTAATCCTCCCTCCGTGGGTTCCACAACGCTGCTCCGAATTTGTGAGATAAGGTGCTTGTTTCCGGGAGGGTTATAAGCCCCACGGATTATCGCCAAGAACCAAAATGGCTGCTGGTTTGTCGGCGAGTGGTATTACAAAGGGTGGCAACACCCTAGCAAAGCGCACATGAAGGCTCCCTACCCTATCCTACAAGTTGTGCAACAGCAGAGACCTCTTTTATGGAGCCACAATGCCATGACATGATCCTACAAAATCTCGTTTTGCTGCAGTACAGCCCCATGCTAAGGGGAAAAGCACAACTCAGAGCAGGGCAGAGAGTGCACGCATGGTATATATTTATTTTAAAAAAAAGAACTGCAACTTGGTAAACATACTGCCAAAGATGAATGGTCCTTTTCATGTGTTTTCCTATTAAAATATTTTAATTGATAGTCAGCGCTCGTCCTGTGTATTTCTTCTTCGTCCTCGTCCGTTTTTCGCGCTGTTTCCTACAATGGATTCCCACCAACTCGCCCAACTATCCATTCCTTTAATATTTGCTTAACAGTAGAAGTTTAAAAAGTGCTATCATTCAAGAATATCTGTTAGGCAACAATATACTGACAAGCTGCGTGCATCACTAAACTGTTTCAATACTTTTTTTTTTTTTTTTCAAATTTGAGACTAAAGGGAAGATACTTGGGTAAAGCACGAGGATTTATGTATCCCCTCCATTAGGTATAACTAGGTATCACTTTAGGTTTCATGTTATGCCAAATCTGGCGTTCGCTTGTCATTCCTTTGCAGGCTTTAAACTGTCCAAGGCACAGTCAATAAATATATAGTTTGATTAAAATTAGCCAAGCCTAGCAAAGGACAACCGGAAGCTCGGGAAAAAAGCTTAACAAGTTTGGCTGCAATTTTTGTTTAAGCATGGTCCGACAACTGTAGAGGGCTTGGAGAAAACTACAGCAACTATTCAATACTACATTAAAAAATATTTTGCCACTACAACTATTCATTTCAAATTCACTTCGAGCTAAAAGATCCACTATTCACGCGTACTTACCACAACTCAACATAGTAATCAGCACAAACGATTGACTGTGGTAAATTTTGCAAAATGCTTCATAAAAACTATGCGACTTGAAAAGATTAGCCACTTCAAGTACTTGGATGCATTTTTGGTGGCTTTTCTATAAATGTGGATGATAAGAAAACTCATCGTCATAAACAATAAGCCCCAAAGAATCTCTCAAACTCCTAAGGAATAAGCTCAAAACAGCCGGGAAGCCCCAGCAACAGATCAGCGGCTTAGGGCACCCAATGAAACGCACCTTCCAAACAGGCTCGTGACCACAATGTGGCTACACCAATCCTTGCCATTAAAGATAGAAAAGCACAACAACTGCCGCAAATTCCTCACCTGTACTAACCCTCATGCCACAGCCAGCACATCGGTAGTTCTGCTTCGCCAACTGCAACTTGCGCCTGCACAGCAAAGGGAGGTCGCTTATACAATTCAAAGAATACACCTTTCAAGCAGGTTCCCGAATTTCTATGATGGAGAAGTGCAAGGGCAAGAGACACTTTTCTACGACGGTTACAAAGCACGGCACCAACGAAGTCGGTGTATCTGCATGCTGAATAATTATGCATCTGCCTCTTGTAGATTGCAAGTTTTCCAAATTTAAGGTTACATGTACCATGCAACACCTAACCAATAGAAAGCATTGTTTTGGCCAATTAGATCTGCAGTACAATGTTTATTATTGGGCGTGCCCATACTTGATGAATAATGTGAATCGTAATAATACTAGTAACAAAATGTATTCTAAATCCGAACACATTTCTTGCGGCAGCCACTCTGGGAAAATTCTGCACTGTTAAAACGAATGTGCGTGCATGGGAGAGAAACGAGCGGATCAATTTTGAAAAAACAACAAAATTCCGAACGTCCCCCAAGAGGAATCAAACCCAGTACTCCAAGATTGTGAGCCCGATGCTCAATTACTGTAAAAAAGGAAGGACTCGTGAAAGTGAAGGTCGCTAAATGTGATGACATTTCTCCTGCCAACCGACACCGCAAAATGTGAAAGTGGCGTGACAATTGCTCTTACTGCACAAGTACTCGCGCAGCTAAAGGGGTGTCCAAACAGGACACTACAAAACGCACGACTCCGACAAACCGTGAAAATTGAAGCGGACGCGCCTGCTTCAAGCCCGCTTCAATTTTCACGATTTGTCGGAGTCGTGCGTTTTGTAGTGTCCTGTTTGGACACCCCTTAAGGTGCGATCGATTGCAAGGAGCTTGCGCTTGTGTCAGCCATTGTGCAGAGATTCCACAGCACACGACAGAGGGCATACTTTCAAAAAGAGTCTATGACAGATAGAAGTCGTACGCTTGCCAGAAGTGCTTCTGCGATCTTCGCAATGCTTCGCGAGAGAAAGAATCAGACTGAAAAGGACTTCACTGAACACGTCCATCGTGCCGGTCAGATGCCAGAAAAAAGAAAACTGTGTTTGGCTAGGGACAGAAAAGCAAGGTGGACTTGTTTTGCTACAACCAAGGGAACGATGAATGTCTGTATTATACGACAGAATACAGCCTTCGTAGAAGGGACGTTAAAATTCCACCGCACTTAGACATAGTAGTTTGCAGCGGAACCTCAGAAAGACAGTCCCGTTTTTTACTTCAGATCAAATAATTGTTTGCCATGGCCCTCACAAAGCTCAAAGTTGAAGTATGATAAAAATACAAAAGTGTGAATGTTTAGTAGCAGTTAAATCTCGCTGTGTAGCTTTAGAGTAAAAGTCCTAATCGAAGTGAGAAAACGATCACTCAATCACCAGCCCTACCTTCCCAAGTACAGCAACTTTAATGACCGGCCAGGCGTGTGAAAGCACCTGTGCATATATCGCTTCAATACCTCGCGTGACCGCCTCAAATTTAATAAATTTGTCTGTCAGCTGCAATTATACTATGAATGCACTTACTTGAGTTCAGGCTGAATGCTGAAGATGATCTGCTCACGTGGAGGCGCCCACTCGGAATTGCCACGAAGGCGCAGCTGCGGCCAAGCACAGAGCCATATCAAACGAAAGAAAAAACTGACCCCATCCACAATCTTGGCGATGGTGATAATGGTAATCTTTGTTCACAAACGGCACTATACTCCATTCACACTTGAGCTGAGACTGCAGTCGATGGCGCAAGCACATGCGATCAGGAATTTGAAACATTCTTCCGCAGAATGAGCGCATGCGCTAGAAAAGCATGTCTCAAAGCCAGAAGTACAGGCTAGCTTGCATTGTGGCTTAGGCTGCAGTTTCAGCTTAGGGGTGAATGGAGTAGAAGCGGTCCACTGTCATACGAATAGAATAAAAAAAAAACATACTGAGCAGAAAAAAAGAAAAAGACAAGCAAAGTCCTAATCATGCATGGTATCCTGAGCAAGGTTTCTCTTACTTATATTAGTGGATGAATTAATAGTAGTAATGGGGGAGACGAAGTTAGCTGGATTGAGTGGCAAATTTGAAGACGGATATCTTGAAACACGGGCTGGTTACGAGAATTCTACGAAACGAAACAGTCTTGCAATGCAGCAACCTTGAAGTTTCCACTAAAAACACAAACGCTAATTGCAGCAGTTAGAAAGTTTATATTAATAAATTTCACTTAAGAAATCGACGGCTACGATTATCCCTGCTCTTTGGGGTCCGCCCAAGAGTGCATCCCAAATGCAAAAACATATTTCGGATACTATCATACTTTCTTTTCTTTAAACTTGGAAAACTTTATTTTGGATACCCGGTTGTAAAAATATCCCAACTCCTAGACTACACTAGATCTCCCTACAGTAGTCAGCTTTCTAAGGAAAAATCTTCACTGTATCAGTGCCTTATCGTTACACGACTACATAAATCAGTAGCTTATATGTACCAGTATTATGAGCACACCTCAATTCTGCTTCCCTATATCCTTCTTTGCTACAGGATTCCCTAAGTGGTTAAGTAGTAACAATATTCAATACCAACTCTGGTACATGAAGTACTGATGCAGCAAAGGTATACTCGTGTCTCATTAATATAGACTCCGTTCATATGGGCACCCCACTGTATGGGCAAAATTTTCGAGGACAAACTGGGTAAATATGTATTTTCCGGTCTATAAGTCACACCTTTGTACAAGTTCCACCTATGCACTGTCGAGACCGGTTATAACGAAGTTAACGGGAATCAGAAATCGCTTCCCTACATCCGCTTCTTCGTTATATCTGAACTCATACAAATAACATGAAAAAAAAAATAACACGGGCTGTCACAGGCACATGTTTATCGAGCCTGCAGAAAGCGTTCGAGGCTTCCCTGCACACGTCCTCTGCTAGATAGAAGCCGCTTCTTGCCAACTGCAAGAGGCTCCGATCAAACAAAAGATCCAGCTGGGTAAGGACCGTGTCGACAACTGCAGCGGGCGCCGCGAAGGACGCCGGCGGTGGACGGCATTCTTTACGTTTATGCGCATTCCATTGAGGATGGTACACTTTTGATTCAAGGAGATTGCCTTCGTCTTTCCCGTCGAACTGTTGGCAGTGCCGGGACTACGCTGACACGGATCACGAAGCAAACAAAGAAGCACGCACGGCACCAAGTTCGCGCTCAAGCTTGTCTGTCATCGGTATAGAGAGCCTAGAATTAAGAGATGGGGCAACTGCTCGATCGGGGTCACGTGGTTTGTGGGCCGCGTTTGCAAAACGAGCTGCAAGGAGTAGAAACACTTCAGGGTTAACCTTCTTCAAATGTGTCCGCCTATGTGCCCAGTTCCCTAGCCACACTGGCCACGCGACAATCAAATGCAAGCATTTTTACTGCTCACTCTCTTAAATCTATGCTCTCTCCGTCATCTCTGCCAGTATGTTGTCACTAGCACTCCGAAAGCCTTTATTCGCATGCCACGACGGCTTCTTCTTGCTTCTTCTATCCGCTTCCCAGATAAGAAGCAGGGAGCAGACAACGCTGTAGAGGCTGCCGCTGGCCGCCTTTCCAGCATCTTCATCAGCCTGTTCTGGGTGGCTACTTGGCCACGGCAGCAAAGTCCGGCGGTCCAAGACTTAGTAATTTTTCCGAATTTTATTCTTCGCTATATCAACGGGAGCCGCTCAATTTCCTTCGCTAAAAACAGACACAAATGCACTGAAAAAGTGTGAACAGAAATGAGGAATTGTGATCGCTGCGCTGTAGCTGCTGTTTCGTTATAACTGGTCTCGAGAGTATTTGTACAATCAGTGCAGCGAAACTGTATTAAAAAGCCCACATATGTGCATTATGACTGCAAATATATAAGCAAGCAAGAGGACGGTTCAGGATTCTCGTCAACTAATCAAACAAGAAATATAATCCCGTGTCAAACTTTTCGCAGTTAAAGTCTGTTCTTATAGAAAAAGGCTGCATATAAGTTATACCGTTGTGTAAGACAAACAGACATCAATTCTGGGGAAAAAAAATGTGGCTTATACGTTGGAAATTACAGTACATGCTCTTTTGCCTCATAACTATTGACGATCGACACACATTCTGGACGATTTTTGGGGGCAACAGATGCATCCACACTAACGAGACCTGTCTGTAATGAAATAACAAAGATCTGGCTTTATGCTGAAAAGGCTCTGCCGTAATAGTTTTGATGGCAGGCTCTTATGTCTGTGTGCGAGTAATGACAGCAAGTGGCAACTGGAGATTTCAGCTTGCAGCGGCCCAGACTGTACCTTGTGTGCGGTGTACTCCTCTTCCTGCTGATCTGGCGAAACAGGCCAGGCGTCAGGAAGTGGCAGCAACTGCATGGGTGGAGCAAAACAGAGTTGTTCCGAACACAAGCGACGAAACATTCGGTCACTCGCACTCACCGACTGGTCGGTCTCGTGCTCCGAAACCAACCACTGTAGTTCTGATGCCTTGGGGAGTTGCTTCCCAGAGAACCGCTTGAGCAAGCTCAGCGCCACTGCCTCTGCCGAAGAACACCTGCAGCAGACAAGCCTCATCGTGCAGTTGCAAAAAAAAGTCACAAAATCACTATATAAGAAAAAAAAAAAAACTGTTGTGCACAGTTTGCGTTTTACACAGTACTATACTCTCCCGACATTCCACCCTAAGACTACACTCTAAACATGTAACTGAAAGTTGGAACCACACATTTCATGTACCCTTTCAGCTTGCAGGCACAAAGTGGTGCCAGAAATCTAGTGCATGCCTGAGCAGCTTAAGAAAACATGCCACTTATGGCTGCATAAGTTAAATGCTTAAAGCCCAACGCACAAAAAGAAATTCTTCCTGGCAGAAGATTTTTCTCTTTTAGTTTGTTTCCCTCTCCAATTTTCTTTTCACTTCTTTACGTCCTTCTTGCATGCTAAGCGTCTATAAGCAGCTTATAACACCCGAAAGTTGTTGAATCGTAAGGGTTGTTCCTGATGGCTTCTTAATGTCTTTTAATAATTTCTGGCGGAGCTCTTCGTACTTTGAAAATTTGAATTAGACTGTGTTTAATGTCTTCAATGGTTTCACATTCAAAGCAGTTGGGTGTTTCTGGCTTCTAATAAAGATAAAGGGAATAGTTGGTACAATAAGAAACTTTTGGCCGTATTCGACGGAGAATGGCTTCGTGCTGTCTCTTCAGACCACGAAATACGAAACCACGAAACATCGAGTTGAATCAATATGTTTTAAAGATGAGCTTCTGTCGATGACATTCCAAAGGTGCTCTGCTTTAGATTTCCCTAAAATTTATGATATCATGCAGATATCAGATTTCGAGGATGCAGCCAGTACTTGTTGGAGAGATACATGAGCAGGTGTGGTCACTGCATCAGCAATTTCATTACCTGTTATACCACAGTGACTAGGTACCCATTAAAATGATATGTACGGTAATGCTTTAGTGAGACGATGTCAGTGTGAGTTTTGTGTATTTCTAAGATCAGTGGCCTGTTTGGACTATTTTTGCATAGATGTTGTAGTGACTGGACGGCTGACTTAGAGTCGCTGACTGCTATAATCCAAGCACAAGGGGATGCTTCTAAGATGTATCAAAGCGCCTCACGGATGGGCATCAGTTTGGCAGCGGAAGAGCAGATTTTATGGGAGAGCTTGTAACCGGCTTTCAGACAAAGCGATGGTGCCACCGATCCAATATATGATCCATTCTGTGCTGTCGATGCATTGGTACATATATGACAAGAAGAAATGTGTTGTGTATATAAATGAGATAAGAAACGCTGCTGAAGGACGATTGAAGATAACACAGATTTTTTAGTTGTACCCGAGATGGTGATGTAGACTTCAAGAAGGAAGCAGTAACCAAGGTGGTGTAGTGAGTAACATGAAAACTTGAAATGGTGGAGGTGTTGCTAACAAGCTCTACCGTTTTTCCTTCCATCACCAGTGCATCAAGCATCTCCAGTGCATACGGATTTTTGTTTCGTGCAAGCACTGGTATGTTAATGAGCGCTGGGCTGCGTTTACACGCACGGCAATGAGCTGATAAATGCCCTGGTGCTATGGTCTTCACAAGAGCCAGAATAATGTGGTTCGGGTGAAAATCTCTAAAAATTAGTAATTGGAGTTAAAGACGAAGAAGAGGAAGTACTTAGGGTTAAAGACAAAGAGGAATTATAACCCAGTTGCTAGGCAGCGGTATGTTTATCCGTTTCTATCATTTGTGTGTTCATGCTTACGTACTAGCTGACACTTATACCTAACATATACCAACTAGATCTACTTGAGACTAATTAAACCCTGAAAATAGCATTCAGATCCAAAGTTTAGATCAATACATATTATGGGCAAAACATTTTGTTGTGACAGAGAAATGAAATTGAGAAAACAGGAAAAGCTTTACAAACATGCTAGCAAACAGCCTAGATATGAAACTTTGAATTGATGTTACTATAAATGTGTGCTTCCTGAGTTTAGTACTTACAGTATTGTTGTTTGTGACTTGTAAAAAAAAATGTTTTAAAAAATATTTTCGTTTTTTTTATTTTCAAATGACCAGGGTCTTCTCATAAAAAAACACTAAAATTAAAAACTTTAAAAATTGAAGAAGTTTAACAGGCCTAAATGGGTCACGTTTTTTTTTTTTTTTTTTTTTAAGTTATACACACAAAAAAAATATATATATATATATTTTTTTTTTCGTGCATAACTTAAAAAAAAAAAATATTTCTAGGAACATTTACGTTGTTGGACGCACGTTAGGTGGGGGGGAGCTAGCACTGCTCTAGGCCCCGCCCAGTGCTTAGCTAACTAAGCACCTTTTCTCGGCTCTTATTGGTTGGAGAGGTGATTGACATGTGAAATATTGTTTCTCCGTGCCGCAATATTTTTATCAACAATGTTTTAATGTTTGAGAAACAAATAATCTGATAGTCATTGTTTTAAAAAATATTCGGAGATTGCCTCATCTGCTTCGGTTTAAACGGCAACAAACATGACTGCTGGCGTTTGTGGCAGTGTTCAACGAGCATAGCTTGCTGAGCTCGAATATTTTTATGAGTGAGAGTTGTTCTGCATTCACCGAGGTGTTTAGAGGAAGATCTCTCCAGCCGACGCAGTTTGCAGCAAACACTGTCGCAACGATATATGCACCTTCGTAAGTGCTGTGCACGTGCTTGTGTTCGTAGCAGGACTGGCCTAAGCCTAGCATTCCATGTCAAATATGTTGCTGGATTTCGCTGGATTTTTTCATTTGAGCGTGTTGATGCCGAATAAAGATGTTGGAGCCCGTAAAAGCGGCCCCGCTGCTCTGTGAATTGTGCTACCGTCGTGACTGCAACCATGGTTTAATATTTAGAACATACGTACGCAGCTAAGAATTTGCGAGCCACTTGGCTGGAGGCAATCGGGCGTTCGGCTCACATCAAGTTTGTCGCTCCAGTAATTTTGCTTCGAAAGGCAAGTAGCTCTCAAGTTTTGCAATGTGCCAGACCTGCCAAAGCGAATATTTTTAGGTCGCGTTTTGCGAGTGTTGCAGAAGTTTTTAGACGGGTGCAGAATAGCAGAGGGAAGGAGGTGAAAATGGACGCCGACGAGCAGCTTTCATGTCTGCGTCTTACGGGCATCGCAGACGACAATAGACAGTGGTGGAATAACAGACAATGGCGGAGGCTGCCGCATACCTGCTCACACGACTAGCAGACGGCGTGAGATGCCAGGCTAAATGCACCGGATGTCGTGAAACACTAGGCTTGCAAGCATGTTTCGCCAAACGGACGAGCCAAACCAGTCGTAATGGGTGGTGCCACTGATCTGAGGGCGGGGCCTAGAGCAGGCCGTGACCTCCACCTGAATTGCGTCTAACTACGTAAATGTTGAGCAAAAGAAAAAATATATATTTAATGAAAAAATTATATAAAAAAATAATGTTCTATCAACGCCCTTTAAAAAAAAAACTTTTTTTTTTTTTTTTTTAAGCAATAGAAAACGTTTATTTAGACTGCCTTAGGGGGTGGAGGGAAGGGAATGAGCATAAGAGGTCATCTGGTCGTATAGGATCAGTGTTGGTAGCGTACCGACACACCTAAGACTAAAAGCAGGAGATGCAAGCCCACGAGAGAGCAAGTAGCATTCCTTTGCCAATGCACCTAAAACTAAAAGCAGGAGATGCATTAAAAAAAAAGCCCAGAATAGAGCGAGTAGCATTCCCATACGTTTATAAGGCGAAACCTAAAACTCTAGACTATATATTTATTTCTGTCACCAACAGTACACATACAAAGCTTTGCACAATAAAAACGATAATGCATGCAAGCTGGCTGAATGCAAGCAAACATTGCCTAACACGAATGGGCGAATGGCCAGTACGCTGGCCTCAGACAATAGGAGGAAAGTGCATTTGTATGTTCGAGCATAGATCTATGCAAAGCAACAAAGCATTCTTCACGGCTTAGCTACAGGCACTCATCATTGTTCTGAGACGAAAGCAAGACCCAAAAATAACTCACAATTTACTGGGTTCCTCCAGCGACAAATCAAGCAAAGCTCCTGGAACCTCTGTGTCTGTTGAGACCTCCAAGAGACGCTCGCCGCTAGACAAGCGCCAATGACTCGGCGACTCGCCAGAGCAAGGTGATGCAAGTGGCGAAGCAAGCCTCGCTCCCGTGGCATCTGCATCAAGGGGAGAACAAGTCGTCTCAGCGTCTGGAATTGTCGTGGACTGTGCCCTGGCAATCCTCGGATGCGTAGAAAACTGGATAGCACCGGAAGCACTTCTTTTAATTTCAAATATCACACTTTTTCTAATCTAAATTTTGTGTTACCTGGGCGTTATTTGCTGACATTTGGTGCTACCTGGATATTATTTGCTGACAACAGAACTCCCCACTCCCTACATCGTTTTAGAGGTACTTTAGTAGGAGAAACACAACTTCAAAGCTAAAACTTATGCATCTTTATGCTCACCTAAACTTATTGAATTCAAATGTGCCATACAAGCTTATAATAAAGAATAGCCATTTATTAAAAGAAGAAAAAAAAGAATATGGTGTTGTCTTTACTCCTAGAAGTGTCAACCCGAGCCTAAGGAAACTTTTAGGGGATTCCATCAGTTGATAACCTTCGAGAACCTCACCAGAGAGCTCGAAATCTTCCGCGTCATCCTCTTCATCGTCTGACACATCAACTGGAAGTGACGAGGCAAAAAATTATTTAAATGATGAGACATTAGCCACTAGGATTGCTTATCATATTACCGAAGAAAAATGGTGCCGATAGGTAAATTTTATCTACAAAAGCACATCAAGAAGCAAGTTCCACTTTGGATTGAAACAAAAATAAGAAGACACACTACTGCGTTGTGTATGTTCTTTTAAAGGTACAACATTTATTCTTTCAACACAGTCACCTTCAAACTGTAAAAACTTGTCAAGATGTGCAACTAAATTCTTCACACCTTCAGAAAAAAAGGCCCCCAGTTTTTGCGAGAAACTGTCAAAAACATTTAGGTAAATGGGAGGTGTGGAGACTTCCACCAAACAGCCCCGACTTATCTATGTGCAGCTACTATCTGTTTGGTAAAATGAAAAAACATGCTTAGTGGACGACAATTATAGCCGATTCACACGACGGACCAAATCGCGATTTTCGTCCGCGGACCGTGTACCACGTGACCGGGACGTCACCGATTCCTGCGATCCGCGCCTCCTCCGCGGAGGCGCGGACTGATAAAGTCGAGCGCCTTTTTCACTCGCGGACGTTTGGCGGCAGACTGACTTGGAAAGCATTTAGTCTGGCAACGGTACATGGTTTTCTTGGTATTTTGCTTCTGTGCGTTCAAAACAAAAATGGCGCGTCGTTGCATTTTGTGCGTTTGTTGGTTCATTTTATCGTACGATTCTTGGTTCCACGCATGAGAGAAACTTTAGAAACTTTGTCCGGCTGACGCGACGCAGGTTCCGGTGCTCCTCCGGGTCCGTGTCAAGAAGCTCCCGTCAAAACTAGTCTAGCACCGCAATAATTCTTGCACGTCCAATCAGGATTTCACCGAGCAAGCCCTCTCTTGTGGATGTGGTGTGCTTGAGTGTTGTGCACGAGCGCGGAGTGTGTGAAGGCATATCCAAACGCCCCTCCGCGAGCCCAGAAGTTCGTCGCGTCTACGCCGAAGCTTTCTCGGGCAGAATCATGCCTGTGTCACTGTCATGCTTTGGGTTAGTAAAGTTAGTGGCGCTTCGCGCGAAGCCTGTCCCGGTGTTTTGTTCTCGATCTGTACGTAGCAGCGGCGTACGATTCTTTATCGCGGTAGCAACCGTCGATTTCTCTCTTGGACAACGGTGCTACTGTGCGATGTTGGAGTTTCGCGGCACTGTGGGGTGCGAACAGGTTCGGTCCGTCCTCACTGGCGTCTGCTCGTCGTCTCCCTCGTGTGGATGCGCTTGGGAGACGGACGAACCGCGGATATGTCGTCATGTGATCAATCCGTCCGCGGATCAGTCCGTCGTGTGAATCGGCTATTACAAACAAATGAGACTGTGACAACTAGTTACGGTTCTGAATTGGTTGCACAAAACTGGAGGCGGCTTTTACTCCACGGACACGGGGACATTAAATCACACAATATGGTAGGTGTCTACAGGGATTAGGCGACCGTCCTATGTCAAAAACATTAACAAAGGTTGAACCTTTTAATGAAGCTACGTACAGAATGTGAGCATATCTCTTTGCTTTCTCGTTTTATTCAAAAGCATAACTTTACTCTTGGATACACCTTCATACGTCATCAATCAAAATTGAATTATTTCAATCAGATCATGACTGCTCACTTGTATTTTATACCACATAATAAATACATAAAGGAGATCTTTCTAAAGAAACGTAATTGCCAAGCACCAAGCCAGCTTGACATTTTTCTATTTGACTAAGCCAGTTCTATTATTATTATGATCATGTAGCACATAACGTACAACACAGTTCGAAAACATGACACTCATATGTTATGAAAAAACGTTAAAAATTGGCAGTTCCTTGCAGTGTTTAGCAAATTAACTGCAGCGATAGCCAAGACGTTACATGCACTGTTGCACATTCTGCCACACACAATTACGCTGCCACGTTTACACTTAGCAGTCGGCGTTTATGTGGCACTGCGACATCACGTGACACTGACACCATGATCCAATATCATGCAATCCAAGATTGCCGCTAAATTTAGCGAAGGAATTTTAACACTAGCAAGGAAATTGGCACGTCATGTGACGATAAATTTCCGCTAGATTTAGCAAGGGAATTGTAACGTCACAGTGTCATGCGACACTATGATTCTCCGCTAAATTTAACGGGCCCCAATGAACACAGTACACACCCTAAGATTCGCTGTAAATCCTTGCCAATATGATGGCCATCGCTGTGAAAAGACAGTTGCATTACATTTCTACAGGTGCACCTGCAAAAGTGACACGTAGCACCTTCCGTTCAGAAGCGATGCAAGGAATATAAACTTTTGACGGACAACTTCAATGACCCAGACTTTTCATGATTAAAATAAACTTTGGCATTCTATCAACCTCAAATTACCGAGCATTCACTGCAGGACCAGAAAGGTCATCCGATTCAAAGCATGAAAAAAAGAGAAAAAGCAACAAAAGCGATGCCCTTCCTCAAGAGGAAAGATGCTCACCGCGGCACGAAGGCGACGAGTTTTCGGAACTTGGTGGGGACGTACTGCTGGTGGCTGAAGAAGAGGAAACAACGAATGAAACCGAGATCCCTGCAAGCTGCAGGACAGCTACACCTACCGTCGGTGCGGCCATCGCTCAGCTGCGGCTCGAAGGCACCTTTCAGCACTTTCTGCAATGGCACGAAGTGTAACTTATGTGTGGAGGTCTCACTGATAGCTAACAATTACAGCTTACTCTCCAAATAAAGTCCTTGGCATTGCTCTGAAAAAAAAAAAAGTCACTCTCTCTTTTCGTGGGGCATGAAAATAGCTCAACACGATTGAGTTCTAGGTTGACAGTACAGAGGAAGGTTATCCGAGTCATACGATAGTTGGCAACCACGGTATTTCACGGTATTCCCCAATTCTGCATATGGCAGTTTGACCAATAAATTGAAATACAACCGCAAGTTTTTTTTCTGTTTATTGTATTAATATGCCATTTGTTGCTTTGTGAAGTTGCAAGCACATTGTTATTCCCTTAAATGTTTTCATGTGACTATTGCACTTGTTGGGCAATTATCTAGATTTGTGCTTCGGCAGCTGGTTCTGACTTAATTTCAGATTTTGACCTATAAATTTGTCCACACTTCTTATAAATTTGCTGCACTTAATCGCGTATAATGCTCGTGCTTTGCCAATCTGACCTTGTGTATCACAAGCTCTAAACCTTCAAATCTCAAGGAACCCTTGTCTCAACACTGATGCAATAGAGCAGGGCAGGAGACTACAGAGCTTGTAAACAGTAAGGCACACACTATTATCAATAGGTTGGCTCATAGTTATGCATCAGTGGGTGGCCCAGATATGCCAAAAAAATGCTGCTCGAACTGGAAACATCATTTACTTTGGGGTAGGGATGGTCGAAGAAATAGGGCAGCTCGACGAACCCAAGAGCATGCTCTAGGGAATTCAACAGTTTGGAAACCCATGTTATGCATAATGCTTACGTTGTTGTTATTTCAACTTTTATCCACACACTGCCCTGCCCAGCAAGAGAGGGGGATAAGGCCAAGCACCTAGCCTTCTTGCATTAGGCCCCCTCATACCACAGACACAAATAAACGGGCAGACGTAAAGGACCACCTCGAGGTGGCGCTCTCTTCGGCGAACATGTATCCAGTGCTGCAGCTGGCGGATATCTTCGTCGCTGTCGGCCTGCTCCTCTGGCCGCTCCACGGCTCGACTGCAGCGGAGGTGCTCCATGGCTGCAATCAGGGCCTCGGACACGTAGATGTGCGCATTCTCCTGGAGAACAAACGCCACCGTCACTCACCCGCTTCTGCGGAGAAGTGCAAGCAAGAAGTGAGAAGAGCAACGGAATGTGCTGTGAATGAGCTGGGCACATGATACGAGTGTGTGCGAGGTCACACGATGTCATAGTGTCACAATATCATGACGTCATGTGACACCGTGATGTCACGTGACGTCATATTATGACAATGATATTGTGGATCTCAGGATAGCATGACATCACATGACACCGTGATGTCATGTGACATCATGGTTTGGTGACAATTATGTTGTGGGTATCACAATAGCATGAAGTCACATAACACTGACGTCATGATATTTTGGGTGTCACAATATCACGACATCACGTGACACTGATGACACGGTACTGTGATACCATGATCTTGTGGGTCTATTGTGATGCCATGACAATGTACGACCACATGATATGACGTCAGTGTCGCACAATGTCCCGACATAATGTGATGTCAGAATCACGTGACCTCAATACATCACGTGATGCTATAAAGTTCTGTGACATCAACAGGTCCTACAATGTCATTTATTTTGATGTAAAGTCATAGCCATGTGATGTCACAATTCTTCATGACGGTTTTTGACGATGGTTCTCTCTTAGAATTCAGCTGATAAAACAGTACTAAAAGTGGAGCAAAAAATTCACCTGGCTGCATTTGATATCCCATCATATGCAACAAAGGTACGATAGCACTTCGTAAGCCTTTTAATATGCAGCGCTTTCTATCAGACTTGTATGCAAGGCAAAAACGAACTTCAAAAGCATAAAACCTACCTACATATCATTAGAATTCCATGCTATTTTAGTTCATTTTTCATTAAATTCGGAGGGTGTTTTGAGAGTTTATTTTTTGCTGAAAGTGTAAGGTTCATCAGTTTTTGTTTTTCTCTAGGTTTTAAATTTTCCAAATTTTTAAAGTTAATTTTACTGTTTCTTATTTTTCAGAATTAAAAGCAAAAATAAATATCATTCGAACAAAAACATACACTAAATTCAGGAACTCACCTGTACTGAATGGTATGTCTGAAGATTCATTTTGCATTGGCGCTCTTGCCATTGTCAATCCTAACCGTCAAAAGACAAATCTTGCAAAGAAGTGCTGCTTCAACTGACATCAACGTTTCGAAATGACTAAACACCTGGGCGTGGTCACCGGGAACCAAGGAAGCTCCAGCTGCCCTGCCCCCTCCTATGAATTTCACAGGATCATAGCTTTCACTTTCATAAAAACATAACCCCTCCTCCCTCTAAAAAGCGCGAATAGCATGCTCCAGACTGGAAACCGGAACAGTGGCTGTTGTCATGGCCTTGAAGTACAACGACTTGATGCATTCTAATTGCATTCTAACAACGACTTGTTGTCCAGAGCGAACTTCGACGGGATAAACGGTGAACTCCCTCTTGTCAAGGGTACGGTACTTCAAAAGAAACTTAAGCGGCTTCTCCTCACGACCACCGACCCTGGGCTCTCACAAAATTTATTCGTAAAATAGTCTTTTTTTTGCGTTTTATTGCTTTCTATTTTGCAATTGTGACCTCGAAATTCAGAGTTTTTCTAATAAATCTGAAAAGAATGGAACCCCACTTACCGCATTTACTCGAATCTGACGCGCCCTCGATTGTAGCGTGAACCCCATTTTCGAGGTCAAAAACAAGACAAAAAACGTGATGACCTTGACTGTTACGCACACCACATTTTGTAGGTTGGATACAGAAATTAAACTTTTTCTCACTTGGAACAACGAAGGTTTATTAAAAATGCATCAATCTTGCGATGAAATGAACAGCGCCGTCTCTCACAGGCAAGGTCGTTATCACGACGACAGTCCAGGGCAGTGCCCGTGGGGCGGTATGCATGACTCGTCATCGCTGTCGGACGACTCCTTGTCGCTGTCAACGGCCCAAAGCATTTCATCTTTGAACCTTGCAGGCCAAAATCCTTTCTTTCTGCTTGCGCCCGTCCCGCACGCAAGTTTCTGGAACACTAAACGCACGTGAAGCGGCCCGATTTCCTTCGCTCTCCGCGCACAATATCACTTTTAGAGCGCAGCTCTTAGGGGCTCGTTTCCGGCTTGAGCGGCGTCGCCGTCGGCGTAACTGCGCGGTGCATTATGGGAAATGTCCCATAATGCACCTCGCGAGCCCCCCACCGGGGTCACGTGACCCCCCCCCCCCCAGGTCACGTGACCCCCCGAGGTCATGTGACTCCCCTGAGGTCACGTGACTCCCCTGAGGTCACGTGACCTCGAGGGGGGTCACGTGACCCCCGATGACGTTATCGTCACTGATGACGTCACCGGCATCCACATCGTCATCGTCATCATCACTGATGACGTCATTAGTGACGTCACTGATGACGTCACCGGCATCCACATCATCATCATCACTGATGACGTCACCGGCATCCGCACCGTCATCATCACTGATGACGTCACCGACATTCGCATCGTCATCATCACTGGTGAAGTCATCAGTGACGTCATTGGTATCCGCATCGTCATCGTCACTGATGACGTCATCAGTGAAGTCAGTGAAGTCAGTGATGACATCTTCGGCATTGGGGGGGGTCACGTGACCCCCCCTGGTTAGTTGAACCCCCCCCCCCCCCCCAGTACACTTCCCTTCTCCTCCTCAAGAGCTGCGCTCTAATTCGGCGTTACATGGAGTTGTAAACGGCTTTCACTTTTTTTTTAATCCAGCATCATGGTGAACGCAGCATGTCTTTCCAGTGGGAAATTCCATGCTGATACGAACGCAAGATACACACGACTACGCTAAGCGCTGGCTATGCTCCAAGCCTCTCAGCGCGTAATGAAGCGGCCATTTTGAAATGTCGATGGCGATATGGTAGCGCAGTTTTGGGTCGTACTCAATTCTAGCGCACATGCGATTTTTGGACCTATTTTTCCGGAAAAAAAAGTGTGTTAGATTCGAGTAAATACGGTATAACATTGACAGACTTATTTCCAGGCCACGGTGAAAGAACGGTGCGTAAAAAAATAGAGATTTGGAAGTGTTCAAGGGATACCCAAAAGGTGGTGCCAGGGTGTTAGGGGCCAACATATACACTTCGCTCTTTCCACTTTTGCCTGACTCTTCCTTTCCTATATCCTCTCCACTTTTTACCCTGCCCCAACACAACCCCCTTCGCAGTTTAGGGGAGGGTGCCAAGAGAATTATCTTCCCTGCAGAAAAGCGAGGCTGAACGTTGGCCTTTAAGCGATCGCAAGAGAATGCAAATGCATGAACCAGCCTCTATGCGTCCCAGTCCTAAAGAATACATGGGCACATGAGGGTGAAGAGATAAAAGCTGCCCCACCCTGTCCAGTTGTGTACAGGTGCCGAAGTCAGCCGAAGAGAGAAAGCTGGTAAGACTTTGGCCCCGATGCGGCCTCGGAAAGAAGCATTCCGTGGGAGGGGCCACCCTGCCACCTGCGATGCGCAAGGAGACATGCTCGACTGAGAAGTGAGCTTCAGCACAGCACACGGCGATAAACAGCATCAGCGGCACTCCACACGGCAAAAGCTACAGTACTAGTGAGCCTGAGCTGTAGACAGACACGCTGTTTACAAACAATCCCGCGTTCGCCCACACCAGGTGCGGGCACCACGCGTGCGCAAAAACCGAATTCGCGTGAAGTGAAGCGTCTGCGCCATGCTGTTGACAGCGCCACCGCAGCAGCGCGACGTCAGGGTCGTGTGTTGGTGTATATACCCTGTCTCACCGCGACTTGGCAAACAATAAAAGCTACAGTCTACTCTCTCTCACCAGTAGCATGCAGTGCTGCCAAAGCCACGGGAGAGAGAAAGAGGAAAACCACCTTTCTTTTGAATTTTGAGCGATGGACAAATCTTCTAGGGGGAAAAGGAACGCACGGGACGCAAAAAAGATGGTCTGGATAAAAGGGGAGTTCCACCTTCCCCTCTTCTCAGGCTGCTTGGGTTAAGCTTTCTTCTCTGTACCTTTGGTAAGGGCAGTCATGTGCTTCGCTTTCTTTGCACCGACTGGCTCAAAGAGGCCATTCGCTTTTTGCCAGGTTACGGTAAAATGAGTTTAGAAAAATACAGCGACTCCACCCTCTGCTTGGACTAACATTCTGCCACAACTTACACATGCTACCCAATTAAGCCTAATGCAGGACAAGTTACAATGTCGCTGCAGTCCTCGACCACCCCACCTCAGAAAGCTGCGACACTGCTTCTATACATTTACTGCAATGTACTGCAATAGCAAAAAAAAAAAAAGACATTTTCATTTAGCAGCATTTAGACTGGATGATTGCAAAATGAGTAGGTGCGCAAATCTCTTGAAGAAAGACGAAAAGGAACTTCTAGCACACAAAAATAGGTTTTGCTTATGCCGCAACACAGCAGCGAAGTTCAAGATATTAGCAGTGGTGCATTTATTTTTTTTTATCATAGCAGTACTTTAGTGTTAAAGGCTGGTACACACACTTGCACTTGATTTCTGCGGACTGCACCACAGCCGGTTTTTAAGCCTCTCCGGTCACAAGTTCGTGCACCAGCTCCTATAAAAGTTGAAAGCGGCATCAAAATTAACCTCCACAGACATTGACTGATGTGTGCACTGTGGATGCCCAGGAGCATAGATATTCATAAAATGGTTGTATGGATGGTGATGATGATGATGTTGGTTTTATGGCTACAGAAAATTGCTACCATCACGACTGGTCCTGATAGGGTAAGGTACTTAGAGGAGCAAGCCTTTCAGCTTTCACATTACCCAGTACATGCCTTGCCCTGACATCACATCATCCATTTTGCGCCAAAACTGAAAAGAGAGGGGAAAGCTGCTTTTGTACAAATTTTGAGTGACGGGTTAATTGTCTATAATCTTCGAGAGGGAGAATAGCGATACCTGCATAAGTCTGGGACAGTTATGGTGAGAAGAGAGTTCCTCCTTCCTCTTCACCCCTGTGGTTGCTGGAGAGCTGATGAAATGACGTCAGGTGCAAGGCATGTATACACCCACATGACTTGGAACCCAACAAAATATAATATATGGTGGCCATTCCTGCAATGCACGATTAATTTCGGCATGCAAAAGCTGTATGAGCATAGTCAATTGATGGATTGAAGAGGGGTCTGTACTGTTTCGTCAAAATATGTTTCGTAGACAACTTTTTACGGACACACGTTTCATGGACATGTTTCGTTGACACTGTGGCGTTTCTTGGACACATGCTCCTGCAATGTTTCGTCAACAAATAATTTAATCTTTTTTTTTTTTTTTTAAGTATGCAATTAAATATGGAAGTTGGCTGAAGGCTAGTGTGTGATTTACCGAGGCTCTCTCTCGCCCCGTACACCAAGCAAGACATAAAGTTTCTTGCAAAATTAGTAGGGTGTTCGACAAAACGTTGCAGATGTGTTGATGGAATGAATGCAGGACGCCTTTGGATCAAAAGAACTGTCAATGAAACGCCGCTCGTCAAACTGACTGTTACTGGATAGAGGGATGCTAATGGTTGTACCCTTTATAACGAGAGGTAGCTTGCGCCGCCTAGCCTAGAGGTCTATGGTACTGGCTGCAGGCCCTGCAAGTGCAAGAGGCAATGAACGAGCACCTTCGTCCAGTATGCTTCGTCGGCCAACGGAGCCAGTGGTCAGTTGTGCAGGGAACGACGTGGACGTCCGGATCGCTTCCTCCGTCGACGGCGACGGACCGCACTGCACTTGCCCGACCTGGTCGGATCGGGACCGCACGTGGCGGGTCTTCTTGCCTCGAGTAGCAGGCAGGTTCTGCGTCGGCGGCGATACCGCACTTCGCGGCTTGGGATTCGAGTCCGATCCGTCGAGGAGACTCCATCGTCGCTCCAAGTTTGCCATGGTGGACTGACACACACCCCCTTCGATGTTGGAGCACACAATGAAAAAGGAACCTCGAGACTACAATGCTACGAAGAGATACTACACCGATGCACGGTCGCTCTCGAAACTAGTAAATCCATGATTATCAGTACTGCCGCGATTGTCCCGGCGTTTGATGTCTCAGTCGTGGAGCTTGCGGTTTCGTGGTTTTGTCACACTAGGCGACCGTGGGATAAGCCACTCAACCTTTCAATCATTCAATAAACGGTCTTAGTTCGATAAAAAAAAAAACAAAAAAAAAACATCGATGGGTTTTAGCTCGTGGGGGTGGCAGGGGAGGTGCGTCCGCACACGTGACGTCGGTTGAACGCTGACACGGAATGTCTGGAACTGTCCAACCTTGGTGCGTTATCATGTGACGGTTCAGCGAGGCAGATCGGGCGAAGGCTGCCGCGTTCTGTCATCTCCCTTGTGACGCGACTGTGGACTGCGCTGGCGCTCGCAACGAGTCTGGAGCGTAGCATGGTAACCAAAATCGGATATCATCAGATTTTGCGATTGGGTGGGACGTCCCTTTTCGACAATGGTCAGGCGCGACATGGCGACATAACAACCCAAAACGGGAACTGACCAGCTGAAGTTCCTTGCACGGCTATCCAATCCGGAAGTCGGGATTGGATAGCCTGGATTGGATAGATAAAATACTAATTAAAAATTCAACAACATTTTTTAAAAATATTTTATGGTTTTAAATAATCCTAGTATGACGTGAGAGCTAAGTAAAATACTATTGCATTTTTGTTGTTTTCGGGGGTGAACAAATGAAAAAAATGGTGCGGTATGTATGATCTCTATGGGTTGGTGCCGTTGCTAGCGGCATCAGCCCAAAAGAGCAAGCGACAAAAACAGCGGCAAACATGGCGGCTCAGCCACCAATTTCCACTGAAGGTAAATATTAACTTTACTCGTTTGTCTCTTGCCTGATGCGCGATATAAACGTGTGAATACTTCTATGGTATAATTGTGTTGCATATATGAACGTGTCTTTTCATTACGAACGTGCGAACCTGCTAGAAAGCTTGCTAAAAAAACCAGCAGTCTCGCTAGGCCTAATGTTTGTTGACCGTCGCATTGAAAGATCGATTTGTTTTTGCGAAATCCTGCACGTATAATGGTATAATACGTCAATCAGAGGTACGATTAAAGTGGTTCTGCCGAAAAATTTTAGCCTCATGTTTAGTTATTCATGTAACTTTCGCGCTTGTAGTAAAACGCGCCTTTTGCGTTGCTACGTGCGACAACTAATGACGTTTCGAGTGCGTGCTTCACCTTGCCAAACTTCTGCTGCATTAACTGGAATTAGTTTAAGTTCGAGGAAGACTAATCTGTGCTAAAATGATTGGAATTTCTTGAACACTTGATACAAATTTAACCCGCTCGTGTATCCGGAAACTGGGAAATCGCTAAAAAATAAACTCCTTTGGGTCAACAGGCTCATACAGCGAACTGAATCGCGATCCTCTACTGAAGTCTTGAGATGTGTCGTAGCATTGCCAACGCAGAGGTCGCTCTTTAGAAATCTTGGAAACAGACACAGGCTAACGTTGATTTTCTACCCTTCTGGTTGTCTTTACCTTTAGCTTATCTTGACCGACGTCATACTGTAGAGGCATTGATTCTACAAGACTAGCAGTCGAGGCTTCTTGAACAACCCGTTCACACAGATTGTTTGAACAACAAAAAGGCATTCAGGCTTTTCTTTGTGTTCCAAAGATTGAACAGTGGTATAGAAAAACACGTTCCTTGGTGGCACAGGTGCTCCTATTTCTTAACGTTATACTTCAAGTGCACCAATCCACCTTCTTTGAAATCATGGTTGCAGATGTTCTGGAGTGAACGCACGTTTTCCTTTTCATGAACACGGGAGCGTCCATGAGAAGCATTCATGTGGAAGGCTCGTGCCAGTACTTCTGTGAATGCGTGTTTCCTGGCCGTACACCTCAAACTAGAAACTGCTTAAAAAGGCTCACTGTTATCGACTTCAGCTGTCTTCCTGTAGCGTCTTTGTGTCTGTTTATGTCTTAACCGCAGATTTCGAGCTAGTACTTTTAAAGGGGCCTGCAACGATTTTGGTTTGGAAAGTTTCTCGCTTAAACTCGCTGGCATTAGTGTGACCCAAAGATACTTGCATGCAGTTTTACCGACACCAACTTTTTTGTGACGGCATAATTTTAAGGATAAAAGACAACTTCCTTTCAGTCTCTTTGCAAAACTTGGTGACATAGCCATGGGGATCGCATTGTTGACATTGTCACAGGGAGTGCCACATTATGCCCATAGTCAAGGGTGGCTTGTAGATTGAACACAAGCACTACACAACCACTTAATTTGGACCCATGACAACAAGTGCCTCAACAAACATTTGGGTAGTGGCTCATGCCCAATCCCTGCAATGACAATAATTACCCAACTCGTCGCACTGTTCCTCCTTTTGGTCGCTAGTTAAAGGAGTGGACAGTGCTCATTCTTCTAAAAAAAAAATGTTTCTGCTACCGTCGTTGGTGGATACAAAAACAGACGTGTTCCTTAGTTTGTGAATGTCAAGAATTAATTCTAAGCAGAATTTGCTGAAAGTACAAAATAGTTGCAGTGCCCCTTTAGCTTAACTACTTCTTTCTTCCGGCAGACATTGAGGCCCAGATCCGAGAGATCCAGGCCCTCAAGGCAGGCAACAGAAATGCAGACAACGGGGAGGGCGTGCCCCTCACGGCGGCGGCCAATGGGGCGTACATGGACGAGGACATCTACGGCTCCACCCAGAACAAGTATGAGGGATACGTCACGTCCATCGCGGCCAACGACGACGCGGATGCCGACGTAAGTCCCGCCGCGACCTGCCGCCGTCTAGGCGACCTATAAGGCTCTTTTGTAGGACATTCATCTGGCTCGAAATCTTGCTGGACACCCGTGCTGATGAACTTTTGCCCTACGTCTTCCTGCGCACACAGTCTGCGTTTTCTAGATTTCTCGAGTTGTCTTGCATCGGCTGGTACTCGGTTTTTATACATAGCTGTCTTTATTCGGACTCGAGATGAGCCGGCGATCGAGAAGTCAACTTGTCGGCGGCCAAAACGAAGGCAATAGATGTCGCCGGGGTGACTCCGAAGGAAAAACAAAGCAAGCCGTGGTTCTGGCGGCCCCGAATCCACCGGCGGTCGTATTCTCAACTGTTCCAGGGGGATCGTGATGTTAAAGTCCTTGCTTGATCGCGCCCTTCTTTTCTAGAGATACTGCTACCTGTTTGAGGTATAGACGTATGAGCAATGTTTTGGAGTTTGTAGTGTCCCGTTCAACGCTTCTGCGGCCTTACTTTGCGACATCCAAATTTCGGTTCAACATCCGTTTCACTTCCAGCAGACATCTATCTCACTAGCCAGTTAGGCATGCCTCTATAGTCCATTGCAACTCAAGAAGGCAGGGTGAGGGAAAGGAAGGCCGGGGGGGAGGAAGCAGGCTAAATGCTGGAGAGAGGAGGAGGTTCCTCCTCTCCTCTCCAGCATTCCGTCTGCTTCCTCCTCCTCAGCCTTCCTTTCCCCCACCCTACCTTCTTGGGTTGCAGTGGACTATGGTCACTGACAGAATAGAGACACAGGCTGTAGTTGAGCTTGTTGGTGCATATTGCTAGAAATGGCCAGCTGAACTGATGAAAATAGAATTAGAGAAAGAGACAGGCATGCCGCTGGATGCCTGTCTTTATGCATACGTATGTATAAAGACTTTCTCTAATTCTATTTTCCTCAGTTCAGCTGGCCATTTTTAGAATAGAGACAATTGGAAAGCGTTTCAGTTGTTCCGCCTTGAGTATGAGCTGCCCACCTTTGATTACAGTTCAGCATTTCGTGAGCTTCTCATGTGCATAGCCAAAGCATTATAGGAGGCAACAAATGCATGCTGGAAGTGGGCCATTTGAAACAGGCTCCCTGCCTTTTTTATTCAGTCAGCGACTATGCATTTCTATAAAAACAACCCAAAAAACCCCATCATTTAGAAAAAATAAAGTGTGGCTCAAAATTTAGTTTTTGTTCTCACATAAACTACCAATCGAGAATCGGCCTTCAAAGCAGTAATTTTGAGATAAGAGCACTTTAGCATTAGACTTTAAGAAATAGTGGAGTACATCTGCGTCAAAAGCCTATTTGCTTTCCCAAGTGGCTTAATACTCAGTAGAGCTGCCTCGTTATCGAATTATTTCTAATTGCAGTCTATCACACTGTCCTGGTGGACGTGGTTATGTTGCCCTCATTCCCCATGTCTTAGTAGAGCTGCCTCTTTATCCAACTTTTTTTTTTTGTCACTGCCTATCTTAATATTGATGGATATGGTCGTGTTGCCCCTGTTTCCTCTGGTCAACATCCCGGGTGATTATTAATTTAATATCCAACAAAACTATCAGTTTCTCACTCCCTACCTCAGTCAGCTTTTGTCGGACGGTAAATTTTTTGTGGAGCGTAGCTACAAGTCTTGTGCTTTCTTACTTGCAGGACGACGACTATGAGAACACGGGCCTCATGCAGTCCAAGAAGGCCCCCCTTCCGGCCGCCTTCTTGGCTGAACTCACAGACAAGGTGAGTCTCTATGCCCGAGGAGACACTCGCAGGTCTTAACACGCTTCCATCGCAGGACTACGATCCATTTGCGGACCGTCGGGTGCCCCGCATTGCGGACCGCGAGGACCAGTACCGGGCGCAGCGGCGGAAACTCATGATCTCTCCCGAGCGCGTGGATCCCTTTGCAGATGGTACGGTGGGCCCGCCCGTTTCTCTCGCTGCTCGCTTTGATTTGGTCTCGGTGGCTCTGGTGCAGTGACATGGGAAACGAGGGGCAGTCTCAAGTCTGCCGACTTGTAGAGGGCACTCGAATCTGCCGGCTTGTACCGAAGCAGAAGCAAATTGGAATGTTTAGACAGCCAGACGTGGCCCTAAGGAGTGGCAGCATTTGTTTATGCTGTGGATGAGTAATTTGGTCAGCAAATTAGAACTGCCATCCTGGAAGCCTCTTACGAGCATCGTGTGGTATCGGTTGTGCGACCGCATGCCGGTATGATGCTCTTCTAGATCGAAAGGGGTGGGGTCCGAAATCAGGAAGGGTGTTGCGGTGCAAGGTTTAGCTCCATATGTTCCCAGCCGTGGCATGGCCACCAACCCTCCCTGCTCGTGCCAAGCTGCACAAACCACCTCGGTGGCACATTAGACAACATGTTCAATAAGAGATCAGACACTATGATCGATGGATCTGGAAAAATAAGCAGTTTGTCCATTAAGCTGCTGGCTTTATCAGATCCTTGTTGCCACAGGGGTGGTGTGGTAGGATTGTTTCGGGAAAGCGTAATGTGTGAATGGATTGACTCCAAGGCAGACCATTGAGATTGCTCTTCGGGCTCCCGTCGATGATGTCTTGGATCGGTTGATCTGTTGTGGCCGGTCTGGAGCGATTCCGGGCCGGTTCGAGGCCACAGCCTGCACTCTCCCAACCGGACATGTGCCGAGGATGGCGGCGGCAACGTACAGTCCTTAGTCTTCTTACCTTAAATCAATGCTTGCTCTTGGTCTTAAAACTGAAGGGTTTCCATGTGGATTTTTTTTGGTTTAGTTGCTTCGATCCACGCTCTCGGCGGAGCTACGGTAGAGAAAAACGGGGCGTGCACTTTTAGAGATATGTAGATACGTATGTAATGGTACAGTGAAGTGAATGGGTAAGCCTATTTCACATTTACAAGGTGCCAGCAGGCACTGGACAATGTGGCACAGTCAAACTTGTCAGTATAGTGATGTCAATTTCCTCTCATCAAAGTATATATCAGCACCACATGTGACTGTTGCAGTACTGCGAGTGTACTACAACTTTGCTTCTCTATCCCAGTCTTTCTTATGCAGAGGTGCTATAGTGCTGGGAGAACATTTTATTGCTTTAGCGTGCCCTCCCTAGGGTAATATGAGGAGGAACTGGCCCTTGAGGGTGTATATGCCCTCGCGTTTCTGGTTCGAGGCTCGTCGCCTGCTGTTGGGGGAGGGCAGGCTGGGTCCCCTAGAAGAGAGGCGTGCGCAGGAGCACGTCTGGCCTTTGACTAATGCCTGTCGTTCAATTTTTTCCCTCCTCCTTCAAGCCACGGCTGCGGCAGAGTTTCCGTCTCTGGGCTACTGGGGCACAGCTTTTTGTTAGAAAGATTAGGTGGGGGCTCTCTGGGGTGGGGGGAGTGAAGAGGGGGCACGAAATCGGAGTGTACCGCCCACCCGCGAAAGGAAGTTCTCGTCCTTGGCCCCCCCCACGTGCGCGTGATGGACAACAAGGCATTTGTCCTCTCTGCTTGGCCTTACACTCTGAAACGTGCAAAAACCCGCGGGGCTGTGGCGCACCTTCGCGACATGTGGCGGGACAGTACAACATGAGCGTGAGCTTTGTAGTGCCGCAATATTTGTTGCAAAGGCACGCTACTTTAGCTTTTTAGCCACAAGCTCGTGGTGAAGTCTCTTGCATTTGTTTTATTAATATTTGCCAACAGCTGCTACCTCTCTTACAAATTAGTCTTTCATATCCGAACTCGCTGCCGACATTCGTCAAGTATGAAAAACATCGGACAACGATGTAGCAGTCACAATTTCCCCGCATCGTCACAGCTTCATAACATTGGCGCATGAACAAGTAGTAGATCGAGATTGAGGGCCTACAAAGGTTTTAATGTACGGGCAGTTTTGGAAATTGGTTCACAATTGGAGCCCTTCTAGCAGGTGGAATACGGGCATAACGACACGATCGTGTGACATTATTGCAGGTGCAGTTACCTTGGCAGGAACACAGAAACGTTATATTTTTAGTCGCTCCTTCTGGTGCAAACATAGGGCTATCTTCAGGGCCTCCGTGTTTCTTAGTATATGGGATTCCAAATCATACCAAAGAAAGGGACAGCGCTAAAGAGAGGTGAACGGGGCAACTGTATTCTGGAAGAGGCCTAAAGAATTGAGTTGGTGTCGAAACGCCACTTAAGAAAAATGGTCCTCCTTATCATTTGTTGTGTAATGGAAACCGTTCCCTCACTAATTTGCGGAAACTGCGCGGCGTTTCGGAAGAGATTCGCGGGTGTGCGGTGCATCCCGTCGAGGGGGCCCCCCACGAGGCTGACAGGCTGGGCTGTAAGGATCAGAGAAGAGTGCGGGGCGGGGTCGGGATTGGGGGCAGCCCCGCGCGTGTTCCTCGAGAAGGGTATGTATTGGGGTTGGGCTGCCCCCCTGGTGGAACGGGGCGAACCAGAGGTACGGCACCTGGAACACTCATCCGATCGGTGCCTTAAACGCTTCCTCTTTCTTGGTACCTCCGCTTCCGCAAACGACGCCATGCCGGTGTCGTGCCCTTGCCCATCGCGATCCCCCCTGGTAGTGGAGCAGCAGAGGGAGATGAGGCAAACACCCGTCTGCCGTGGGTCGCTCTCCATCTTGACGGTCCGCAAAGCTTCGGCATTTTGAAGTTGGGACGCCGGGACAGCAGTGACGCTCCAAATCACTCTTCGTCTTTGCCGGAATTTAGTGATAACAGTAATAAACTTTATTTTCGTCAAGTTTGGGGAGGGGGAAAATACGAGAAAAAAAAAGCTGCACTGTGCAGCTTGACTAATCCTCGGACCCATAGAGGTAAGAAGCTTCTGAAGGTGACACAAGTCTACCAGAAGTGAAGTTGGGAGTGTGGAGGGACATGCCCCTAACGATGACCGAAATCTAGAGACGCTATTGGACGAAAAGGAGAGCTGGCCCAACAGCTGTTTTGGTCACTCTCCCAGAAGCTTCTTACCTCCTTGCTCAAATCCCTGCAATGGTCAGCTGTGTGCAGGAAGTGCAGGAAGTGCAGAATTCAACATTAACATAAACGACCGTAACAAACGAGTGGACTCTACAAAAGTATAACGGACAGAAAATGATTTTACTGTGTGCTAAATTTAAGCGAAAGAGGGAAAAAAATGACGACACATCGATACTGAAAGAGGAAACTTAATTAATGTTTGCAAGCCATAATTCGTTTGTTGCGTGTCCGTCCTCCACTCTAACCACTGGGATCGTGACGTCCGGCAGAGCAACGGGCCGAGCTCCCGCGGCATTGTTCATCGCGACTTGAGGACTGCTTTCGACGTGCGGGTGGTACGGAACGCCAAATGCACCGGTCGGAGATGCGCTGCAGGCTGCCATACCAAAGGAGGCATGTTTTTGGTGCGGGCCAACGGGTGGTTGTGTTGTGGGGCGACCGGAAGGGGGGAGGCACTAATGAGCCCGAGGTATTTTTAGGAAGTGGCGCTCCTTGTTGCGTCCTGCCAGCATCGCTTGTTTAGAGGATGACCCCGGAAGAGAGTTGGCCGTCCTCCCCAGACACGTACGTATGCCCGGGCGCCGGCCCACGTTTCTTTCCGGCGGGGACGCGGCACCACTCCGAGGGCACCCCCGGAAAGTCACGCCTGGGGCACGTTACGGAAGAGCCTGCCATGCTCCGCTCGCCCCCTAAGCCGACGGTGCAGGGAGAGCCACGCACTCGCTGGACCGATCGACTGCCTCCCTTTCACCGCCCCACCTTGCGTGCACGTGCAGGCGGGACGCAATTGCGCGGCAGAAGAGCAATGTGCGACCAGTCCGACGAGCGTGCAACTTCCGCGGCACCGTCGGCTCGGTGGTGAACGGAGCGTAAACCTTATTATTCCGTCGGGCAGCTCTGTCTGCGGGCAAATCTTCGCCAGCAACCTGTCCGGCATCACAATGGTGCTTGTTTGGTGGACAAAACGAGGCAGCGGCCAAAAGTTGCTAAAAAAATAACCTCTAGTCATTCAGATGAACAACTTATGCCGCAAAAACTAATGCTTGGGTAAGGGAATGTGTCGCTTTGGTCCGCTGTGCCCACTGACTTACCTAGCCGCGACGTCGGGGCCGCAGCTCGTCGGCCTTGATTTCTGGGGATGTCTCTCCGGCGTGTCTTCTCGGTGGGATTCAGGACCTTAGGGTGCCCTCGAGGGGTCCTCGCCTCGTCCCCGTTGCAAAGGGGCCCGGCCGACGTCCACGTGGGCCCCCTTTTTCGTTTTTCTTTTTTCCGCGACCAAAGAGCTTTTGTCCGTTTCGTTTCTCTGCGGGGGTGGGGAAGTATCTTGGGAGAGGGGAGGGAGGGGCCAGAGGGTGGGCGGGAGGTTGGGTGCACGGGCCCCGCGAGTATTTCTTTCCGCCGGAGCAGCTCACTGATTTTCGAGAGCCGTCTCTGCTTTTTTTGTGCTGTTGCAGGGGGCAAGACGCCTGACATGAAGTCTCGTACCTACACGGTCATCATGCAGGAGCAGGCACTCAACAAAGATCAGGTGGGCCTCTTTCGTTGCACGCCGACGTTTCCGGTGTGTCATGCGCATCGAGCGCGCGTACAGCCAAAGCTCGGAGGAAGGCATGGGGTGTGTGCCGGAGGCCAGGCATTCGAAAGACATGCCTCGATGTTCTCGTCCTGTCAGTCAATAAGAATGGACCCACGCAGCACTGTCTAGCTTGCATCCTCGCCGCCACACAGATCTCTCGCGGCATCTTACGAGCGCAATGCCGGCTTGTGGCGACGCCAAGATGCTGGTGCCTTTAACTTTGCGGCGTGCTCTAGTGCGTCTTCGGCGTGTTTGCCGTTCGGGCTGTGTCAAGGATCTACCGACGACGACATAATCAGCAGGCCTTCTAGGATGTATTGCGTGAACCCAAGTGGGCCCTACTGAGCCTGAACAGTTCGGTAGTGCTAAAGATGGGCTAATGAGTTAAGATATTAGGGGACAGCATGCAAATTGTAGGCTTAGAGTTGTTGGTGCCTAAAGACAAGAAATAGAGATAGCTAAAGAAAAATGTGATTTTAGGCATTTTATGTTGTACGGTGCAGTGATAGTTCTGTTGTCCGTTCACTTGTCATGTGCATGTTTGCTTGTTTTAATGTGAAACATTCTTCGGCTAGGTGTTGGGCATTTAGTGAAGCTCGAATAAAAGTGAAGCCTGGATGAAAGCATGGCCGCGAGGCTAGACACTGATTATCGTCGCTATTGAGTGGGAGAGGAGGAGCAAGCTGCTCAGCGCTCATTGGTCAAGGGAAAGGTCATGTGACCAAGAGGGGTAAGCGAGGAGGAGCTCTACCAACTGTGGTAATTGGGGGCAAGGAGCTTGAGAGAGTGGAAGGCTCTTGAAGATCGCCAGGTTTATCAGCTCAATTAGTGTCAGCATCGCTTCATTCTAGGAACAACCATCAAATGTACACATGATATGCGTTAAAGGGATGCTGAACCAAAATCTGGATTCCACGAAGCATGGCGGCAAAAGCGTGCAACGGGACGCTACAAACATCAAAACATCACTTGTACAACGATATATCGAACAGATGACCATATTTTTTCAAGAAAAGGAGGCGCATTTCACGGATATGTTTACATCTTGTTTCTCCGAGAAGGAGAGGGAACGGCCTCGCGTCTTCTCCGTTTCGCCGGCTTGAGGGGGCGAAGCAAAGAGAGGAGGAAACGAGATATCTTGGGACGTCACGCGCCTCGTCTGCCTCGTTCAATCTCGACCTTTTTTTTCCAAAAATACGGCAGTTGATTGGAGATACCGCCTTACGAGTGATGTTGTAAGGTTTGTAGCGTTCCGCCTACAGCTCCTGCATTGTTTTTTGAAATTCAAATTTCGGTTCACCATCACTTAAAACTATCTAATAAAGAATGTCGTGAAAGTAGGCGTTTGGAAACTTGGAGTATCGCTAAACGTTTGTGATGATAAAACGTTTCACGTATGCATCATAATTGCTTACCAATTTGCCATAAATCTTCTATGTTTATTTTTTGTTTTATATTCTGCTGTTAATTATACCCTGTTTCACTTTACGTATGGTGTAGCAGATGCTGCAAGAGTGAGCTCTAGACTTTGAGCTATCTACTGAGCATATGTGCTCGTCCAGACAGCATGCTTGTGTTGTAGCTTCGGCTTTGGTTGCACACAGAGTGATACAAACTATAGCCTCATCAAAGCTCTACTGCATCTTTTTAAAGCAGAAGCTTTATTGGGCCAACCAACGTCGGGAGCCGCGTAAGCATGAAATGTGAAGGTCAGTCAGTTCGTAACCGCCAAACAATCTTGAAATAGGATGGCAACTGGTGTCAGGAATTGAACCCTGGTCACTGGCACGAAGGCCGAGCGCACTGCCGACTGAGCTACGAACTCGGCACGCACGAACGGGAGGAGCAAAAGCAGGTGGTGTAAGAAAGCGTGCCGAGCGAAGAAGAGTGGAAAGGGAAAGAACAACAGGAGCAGAAATGGGTGTCGTAGAAGGAGCGCACAGAATGAGGAGTGGAGAGGGCGCGAAAGCGTGCTTTTCCTCTTTTGGTGGCGCAGATAATTCAGCGCAGAGGCCTTGTATCGAACCGATGCTGAAGGGAAGCGTGCGCAATGTCACAAAGAGACAACGGTGTGACATAATCTCTTTTCGTGGAGAACCCAGCTTCTTTCCGCACGTGTCATTTAGCCTGCACCTTTCCGAATGTCACCAAAATATGGGCACCCGCTTTTGGTGGCGCGCTGAGGCTGCACGTGGAAATTTTACTGTGAACGTGCAACGGAATTCGTGGTTTATCGACTACATGCGCGATTCGTTCGGGTTACACCTCGTGAGCAACACCAAAATCCTGATTACCCACAACAGCACCGCCACCGATTCTGTCTTTGTGTGAGGCGTTTCCTGATTAGGTTGCATGGACTATGTAGCATATTTCTAACTACATAAACTGTTGCTCTGCATAACATACAAATCAGAAGACGGTGGCAACACCGTCGAGAGCAACAAAACCGGTGACAATAACCATGACAGCCAGTGCAGTGCCACCAACGGTTGCCACACCCACACTGTCCGTGCAGTAAAATTGCATGATCACCACGGTGATAATCCTATGGTCGAAAGACTTGCAAAACATTGAAAGTATATCAATAAAATTTTATTTCGCTGCAAAACACTTTTTGCCATCGATGACCCTTTAAAGCAACCGCGTTTATATGCATTAACAGAATGACCAAACACGCAGCCCTTTTTTATGTACTGTGCATGCACATAGGTATTTGGGCAGTTTGCGAGTTGCATTGAATGTGACGACACGCTTGGGGTGTGCAGACTGCTAGGAGGAGGTTGGGGCAAGCAGCATCCCCCAACTTAATGTTGCTGCATGTGTTCTTTTCCTCTTGCTAGGCGGAGTTGCGCCGCAAGCTGGCCGACAAGGCCAAGTCTGGGGACCTCCAGTCGGTGCCTTCCAATGGGGAGGCAGTCAAGCAGGCGGCCCCCGGTAAGAGCACGCCATCCCCTTGTACATTGCAGGACACTTTAAGCGCGAACACTACCTCAGGACTTTTTTGCATTTTGCTACGAAATGGTACTGTTGGGTATCACACTTCACTGCTGGGGTCACTACCCCAATTGAGCATTTGCCACCATTACCATTATAGTAGTTTTGATAACAGTCCTTCAACACTGAGAGAGAAACGGACAAAACCGGCGATGGCTCGTTCGCGTTAACAGTGTGGCGGAGTGTACGGATTGCCGCAAACTTAACTGTTATTTCACAATGGTTTGTACCAAGTGCGGCAACACGAGCCGGCCCAGCTGCGTTCAGGCCGGGGCGGCACGAACAGGCCAGGGCAGCACAAAGGCCACGCGGGGGGTTTCGGTTTTGAGCCCTTCAAGAGCTTGGAACGGATTGCCACATTTCTTATTGTCGCGGTGTAGGAGTCGGGTTCGTGGAAGAGCCTGCCGGAAGCACTGCTCGTGGAATTTTACCCTTTTCGGATAGCACTAAGCCGGGCCAGCTTCTATTACCTCCGACTCTGTATGATGGTACATAATGGCAACAGTAACGGTAGTAATGAACTATTATTATTACTCTGGGTCGAGACCCTGTGTCCTACTGCGAGGCCACGGTGTCATCGACCCCGAGCCAACCGCGGTGGCGGGCATTTGGTCTTGATTGCATTTTTTCTACCTTCGCTCCTTTTTTCATTGGTCTCTGGTTAGGAGCAACTTTGTTCCTCATTTTCGGGTTTTCATTACTGCTGTTTAGTGATCTTCTGACCCACTTCGTTCTTGAGACAATGCGCAGGCATTGGGTGGGAAGAACGAAATGTGGGCGACTTTCAAGGCTGGTCTCACCTTAGTTTCTTGACTGCGAGCCGCTTCTCCAATGGCTGCTTTTACGTGCCAAATATGCAGATGTCTTAGCAAACATTTGACGCAAGAATTGACGACGTAGTATGCTAAACAATTCTTTATTTGCACAACGTTGGCGAACCTACTTATGTAAGTTGTTTAGAGCTTTGGCTCTCTCTAGCCCCTGGTTCCAGAAGGGATTTGGGAGGGGAGCAGATTTAGAATTGTGGTCTAGCCCTGTTCCCCCCTGTGTCTTATGGAAGTTTTTGTCTCGTTCCAGCCAAGCGTAGGCGCTGGGACCAGTCTGGCGAGGAGACGCCCCAGGCAGCAAAGAAGAAGTCGAGCTGGGACGCTGCGGAGGTGGGTGCTCCCTGATTATATTATTGGCCTAGGCTGTCGTTCAGGTTTATTGCCCGAGTCTTTCGATCAAACCTTTAGTCCACCAGGAAAACGGGGAATTGTTGTATAATTTGGCGAGCTTGGAAACGTCGCATAATTTTCATCCCAGTTGGCATCGGTCAGGGAAATTCGGCTTTCCTTTTTCCGAGTGACTGCAAGCTATTTTGTGTCTAGTGTGGCACACATTCCATGCAACTCCACCGGCCTGCAGACGCAAATCTTGCTCAGAAAAAAGTCTTGTCTGTATGCAAATTGCATCCTCTTTAAACGTGCGCACTGAGACTATTCGCTCTCCTTGTGCTCACACCAATATGTTTGCCCAGTGTTTTATATAAGACTAAACATTTATTCAACAAAAAATATGAAACAATTGACTAAAAAGCTCATAGGATTCAGTTTTTTCTCCATAAGAGCTGCAGTTCTGACATTGTATTTCTTGGGAGCCGTCCAGGAAAATTTCATAAAATATTCGGGGAAAACCTGAAAAAGTCGGGGAATTTGGAAACATCATTTTGGTATTTTGGTGTCTGGGTAGAAAGTGGCAAATCGTTCCCACGAAAAATATGCGTCGCAATGAACAATTATTTGATGTTGTATTAGTTTCTGCCGAAGGACCCATTTCAAAAAATTTACAGCGTTTGATATTCAATTATTACCTACTTTTCAGTAGTGAACTTTTCGATTACTAAGCTTAAAAGTGCATTTTCAGTTCCACTAGTACACTGACAATCGTGAGGATGAAGCAAACTGCTCGAAAAAGCATATTTCAGTCAGCAACTTTTTTTTTTTTTTTTTTTGAACGGTGTCAGTATAGCAGAATTTTTCACAAAGAACTCTTACCTACTATTTCAGAGTGCATAGTCTGCATTTACTTAATTTTACACGAGAGCTCGAGTAGGGTAGAAGCTACAATATCAGTACTAGAACAGAAAAGGAGCCGATCGCGAACGGAGCGAGAGAGCCAAGCAGCTCAAGCAGAGCGCCCTTCCTCTCCCCGCAGTCGTCCCAGACGCCGTCCCAGATCCGCTGGGACGAGACCCCCGGCCGGGCCAAGGGCTCGGAGACGCCCGGGGCCACCCCCGGCTACTCGAGCAGCCGCATGTGGGAGCCCACGCCAGCGCACGCCTCCACCCCCGGCCACGCCACCCCCGGCCACGAGACGCCGGGGGGCAGCCAGAAGGGGGGCGGGGCACCGGGGACCCCCAGCGCCAGGCGCAATCGCTGGGACGAGACCCCCAAGACAGAGAGGGGTGAGTGAACTGCCGTGTGCGGCAGCCTCCAAGAGACACCCCATTGCTTTTTGTAGAAGCTCGTTTTTACGACGGAGCTGTTAAGGGCTAGTTTCCCCAGTTCTGTGTCCGTGGACAAATAAATCTCGACACAATACTCTGGACAGGATACCACCTCTGTAAGCAACGGTGGCTACCAGACAACTGGCTTGCTGGTTGTCTGGTTGCCGCCGTCATTCATAGGTGGCGGCAACCTTTCCAGCCTTTCCACTCTGATTTTCGCCAGAGTGGAATGGCTGAATTTCTCTAGGCGTCGTCCTAAAAGTCGTCCTCGTGGTCGTCCTAGACGTCGTCTTTGAGGTCGCCCTAGACGTCATCCTCCAGGCGTCGTCCTTGAGGTCATCCCACCGTAGTACAGCTTTGCTGGTCTTCCTCCTTAAGCTGAGTGGAAAGGCTGCAGGTTTTTGATGGCACAGTGTTTGTCAAGTTTCAGTCAAAAAAATGACATGACATATTTATTGAAAAAAAAGGTCCAGCACAAATGCTACGGGAAGGAGGGCCCGACGTAGACGGTGACACAGGCATTGCTCACGCGGTACACGGCACAGGTAATGGAAGAAATCTGACATCATCATCTGGTTGGTGCAGCACAAATATTGCAGGACAAACGATTTTCTGTCGTCCACCTTCCCATGGACAGCCCCGGTCGCATCGTCGCACCTTCCAAGAAATGTGCACAACTCGCTGATGCTGAACAGCCTGCGTGAAGGAGAGAAATGCGAGGTTAGGCGGTCAGGCCTAGTGCGCATCTTTTTCCCTGGTCGATCTTCGACGATGATGATGATGGTCAGCATGTGGTGGCTTTCGGCGGCCGCTCGGTGGCTTTCGGGAGCCGCCGAGCGGGCAAAATGCGCATGTTGTAACTTGAAATTATTTTCGCTAGCCATGATTGCTTTCGGTTGGATTTTTTTTTTTTTTTCTTGCAATATAAATTTGTAAAACTGAGGTATTGTTCACATACAAGAGCATTTAAATTATGCGCATTATTCCGAAATATTTGGCATTTTAAAATTCATAGTACCGAAGTATTTTTGCATTGAAACTAATAGGCATTGGGAAGGAGATTTTCGAAATGTTTGTAAATTTTAAAAATTCGTTATAATGACGTTTGCAATAACGAGATATGACTGTACAACGCAAGCAGTTTTTGAGCTGCTCGCAACCGCTTACGCTGGGCCGCGCAACTGCAATGGCGGTGGTAGGCGGTTTAAAATACCAGTCGTGCCGCAGTTGGTTGCGAGTGTGTGTCAGCCTTCAACTGTTAGAGCAGCAACGCCAGCAAAAAAAACCCCAGATGTGGGACGTCAGAAGCCTCGTTATAGTCACCAACAAGATGAGAATGGAAGGGAGGAGCTTCAGTTGCCGTGCCTCCAGCGCAAGCTCCCTACTTTTGGCAATGCTCTGCCGTCTCGAGCACTTGTACATGCACGTGGCCATAGCACCGCAGAAGGCACGGCGCACGTGCCGGGCGTTCAAAAGACCGGGGCGTCTCATCGGTCTATACCAAAAGCACCGAACCCTACTTATAGCCTTCATTTGCTTTGCAACACAAAGCCCCAATGTTTCCTTCCCTCCGCGTGCAGAGACCCCCGGGCACGGAAGCGGCTGGGCGGAGACGCCCCGCACGGACCGCACGGGGGGCGCGGATCTGATCCAGGACACGCCCACGCCCAGTGCCTCCAAGCGTCGGTCCCGCTGGGACGAGACCCCCTCGTCGCAGATGGGCAGCCAGACCCCCCAGACACCCTCCTCCATGACCCCCACCTCGGTCATGACCCCGTCGGGGGTGACCCCCACAGGGGCCAAGGCCATGGCCATGGCCACCCCGACCCCGGGGCACCTCATGGCAATGACGCCCGAACAGCTGCAGGTGGGACCCCTCTTTTGGATTTTGCAAACCACGACGCTTCCAGCGGCGAGTTTGGAGCGACGGAGGTGGCATTGTATGGAAATTCGATCCACTGCAGTGTTAGGAGCCGGCGGCATTATACCGTATTGGCACAACGGACCTTTCCTCTGTCGTGCGAATGAATAGGGGGGAAGTAAGTGGTGGTGTCTAAGGGTTTTGATCTAGCGCATTGTTTAAAGCCAGCATGACTAGCCGTGGAACAGGGAAAATTTACAAATAGAAAGAGGCTTTATTAGCCATCAAAAGTGATTTGCTTGCTTCTGGTGCTTTCTAGAAAATCACCCTTGTATCTGTAAAATAATTATCCTTACTTTTAATCAAAATAGTTCATGTTGGTGCATGTGTTGGTGTTTAGATGAGCACAGTCATCTTGCGAAGCTCAAGTTGAATGAGACGTGCAAACCTTATGCAGTGTACACTCAGCCAACTCTCGCGGAGTTCATGCGGTCCACTAATCCCTGTCGCACGTGCAGGCCTACCGGTGGGAGCGCGAGATTGACGAGCGCAACCGCCCCCTGACGGATGAAGAGCTGGACGCCATGTTCCCGCCAGGCTACAAGGTGCTCCAACCGCCGGCGGGCTACATCCCTATCCGCACGCCGGCCCGCAAGCTGACTGCCACCCCGACGCCTCTAGGCGGAACGACGGGTATGCCTGGCGGAGGCCCCGGCTTCTTCTTCCAGAAGGAGGAGCCCGTCAAGATGGCCGACAGCCAGCCCAAGGGCAACCTGCCCCCGCTGAAGCCCGAGGACCTGCAGTACTTCGACAAGCTGCTAGCCGAAGTGGACGAGGAGCTGCTCAGCCCCGAAGAGCAGAAGGAGCGCAAGATCATGAAGCTCCTGCTGAAGATCAAGAATGGGACGCCGCCCATGCGCAAGGCAGCCCTCCGCCAGATCACGGACAAGGCGCGGGAGCTCGGGGCAGGGGCCCTCTTCAACCAGATCCTGCCCCTGCTCATGTCCCCGACCCTTGAAGACCAGGAGCGCCACCTCCTGGTCAAGGTCATCGACCGGGTCCTTTACAAGTTGGACGACCTGGTGCGACCCTACGTCCACAAGATCCTCGTAGTCATTGAGCCCCTGCTCATTGACGAGGACTACTACGCCCGCGTGGAGGGCCGCGAGATCATCTCCAACCTGGCCAAGGCGGCCGGCCTGGCCACCATGATCTCGACCATGCGGCCGGACATTGACAACATCGACGAGTATGTGCGCAACACGACGGCCCGTGCCTTCGCCGTGGTGGCTTCGGCGCTGGGCATCCCGGCCCTGCTGCCGTTCCTCAAGGCGGTCTGCCGCAGCAAAAAGTCGTGGCAGGCCCGCCACACGGGCATCAAGATCGTCCAGCAGATCGCCATCCTCATGGGCTGTGCCATCTTGCCTCACCTGCGCGCCCTGGTGGAGATCATCGAGCACGGGCTGGTGGACGAGCAGCAGAAGGTGCGCACCATCACGGCTTTGGCGCTGGCCGCGCTTGCGGAGGCGGCCACGCCCTACGGCATCGAGTCGTTCGATTCGGTGCTCAAGCCCCTCTGGAAGGGCATCCGCACGCACAGGGGTAAGGGCCTGGCGGCCTTCCTCAAGGCTATCGGCTACCTGATCCCGCTGATGGACGCCGAATACGCCAACTACTACACGAGGGAAGTGATGCTCATCCTGATCCGAGAGTTTCAGTCTCCAGACGAGGAGATGAAGAAGATTGTGCTGAAGGTGGTGAAGCAATGTTGTGCCACGGACGGTGTGGAGCCTCAGTACATCAAGGAGGAGGTGCTGCCGCACTTCTTCAAGCATTTCTGGAACCACCGCATGGCCCTGGACCGGAGAAACTACCGACAGGCAAGTGGCCACACTTTGCTCCTTCTGGTCAATGCGGCAAACCTTGCTGCAAACATTCTCGCACTTGCTGGCGAATGTTAGCCGAGTCAGAGGTTTTTGCTTAATGTTTGCCAAAATTCAACAAGCTGCGGAGAAATTTCTGGATTTTAAAGCTTTGTATTTCCCTGGCTTTCAGACACTGAAATTGTTTCTTGTCGTCATTGACAGTCGAGATTTTATTGGTTGCATTTGTGGCGTGCGGAAATTCCATCTAGTTTTGCTATTCAAATTTGATCAGAATTTTATGCTGAGCTCTGAATTATACATTGTTTCACCTTATGATGTACCACACCAGACAACCAGAAGCTCGCACGACACGCTTCGAGCTGTAGACCGGCTGCGGGGGCTCGTGCATCTGTTGCGGTGCCTCATAAGGGGAAATTGAGTATAGAAAAGTTGACAAGTCATTAGTGCTAACCTGTAAGTTGGTCCTTGTAAATTACAATTATAAGGTACCCGCTACACTTCGTTTCGTCGTAACTCGGCTAAGAGCAACTTCGTACAAAAGCAGCTTTTCTCTCTCTCTATCGTCTGTGGCTTCAACAGCACCGCACCTAACTGAGAAGATAGAGTATAGTCACTCGTTTCTCTGCGACGCACCGATTGGCTCACTGGGACCACAGTCTTCGGCGTTTGCGAGGTTATAGTGAGCCGAAGTATAGATTGTCTATAAGCTAACTGCAGCTGTATTTGTACTCATTAACCATACGGAGACGCTTCTATGGGAGCCGGTAAGAGAGCGTGAACGGCATGTGCGCAGTTGGTGGACACAACGGTGGAGATCGCCAACAAAGTGGGAGCGGCAGAAATAGTGAACCGAGTGGTGGACGACCTGAAGGATGAGAACGAGCAGTACCGCAAGATGGTCATGGAGACCATAGAGAAGATCCTGGGCAACCTGGGGGCCACCGACATTGACTCGCGGCTGGAGGAGCAGCTCATCGACGGCATCCTCTACGCCTACCAGGAACAGACCACTGAGGTGAGGCCGTTTGCTCCTTCGAGGTTGGTTCACACATACCTGCCAACTCTTCCGAATTGTCCGGGAGCCTCCCGAATTTTGATCACATCTCCCGATTGTACGGACGCGACCTCAAATCTCCCAAAAAGTATCCGCCGTAGTGTTTTTTTTTTTTTTTTTTTTTATGACGCCGTTTTGCTATAATCATCACGCGTGTGTCATTGCGAGTTACTCGAGAGTAAATTTAGGTTACTCTGGCAGGTTACCACGTGACAACTCGGAGCAGTAGCGTAGAACAAGGGTAGATTTTCAAATGCCTAGGTACGAAACCTCTACTCCTGAAGTTAGAGCGCATTTTGGAACACGGCGTATATGACCATGGTGCGCTGGACTTCAGTGGGCTTTGTCAGGTTGTCGAGTGAGGTGCAGAAAGCCAAACTAGTCTTTGTGTTTCCCCGAGTTAAGTTGGAACCACTGATCTGTTGAAACGATCGATGGCACTTTAAAAAGCCAAGAAGAAGTACTTGCAAGTATTTCTGAGATCATACGCGACTGAGTTTCCGTGCTTTGTCACTTCGCGGAAAGCTGACAAGTATAAATTCTGTACCATGTGCGCCTGTGATGTGTGAGCGTTTCCCACGGCGGCAAGCTTGACATCAAGATACACATTGCTTCACGAAAGCATCAGAACCATGCTCGTGCTGTAGAAGGGCAGGAACCCTTCTACAGCAGCCGTTGAGAGATGGAGGTTCCTTGGAATGTAAATATTTGAGAATGCCTGCTTTGCAGTAGAGGAATGAAGAAAAACAGTACACGGTTGCATCTCCTTGCTGTTTTGTTTTAATTTCAGCTTGGAAGGATGCCTTTTAGCCCTAGATATTAAAGAGCATTTGTATTGGAGGCTTAAAAGTTTGTCCGCTCGGATTTGCCTAAAGTCAATCTTATGTGTCACACCTATCGGCACTTTGGGCATTTTCATTGTTAATACATATGGCAAAGCTCGATAAGGGGCTGGTTGGTTTTGCCGTTTTCTCAGTCAGTTCAATGTTGTTTAGTCATTCAGTCACTAAGGTGTAGAAAGACAGGACATATACTTACATTTGTTCAGTCAGTGAATGTTTTGTTATTGGGTACATCATGGCTGCTTTACACATGTTTGTCCCGCATTTTGTTCACCTTCATACAATTTTTTTTTTTGTGCAACTACGGTAGCACTTTGTAGCACAGTCAAGGAGAATGATAAGTTTAGTTCCACAGAAGAAAACTGCAATAAGAGCAACCTTTCCATCCAATGTTGCACTCTGGTCTTTGAGAATTGTGATTGAAGGACAGTTTTCCGTAGACCTTTGCATGCTGGACGCACCCACGGAAGTTGGACGTTGTGGAACCGCGAGAATATGGTTACCACGACGCATCCGGCCCCAACCAGGTCAACCCGCACTTCCGACGGCGCCGGAACCCGTTACGGATTTATACGTCCAGTTCCGTGCCGGTCGCCGGCAGGGCAGGTTGCGCTCGGAGGAGGGCGGCTTCCCACAACAACGACCAGAGTCTCTGGGACTTAACCCCGTGGTTCTGTTTCTCGTTCCCTCTGGCACATTCCTCTTGCAAACAGCGGGAAAGGCATGGGTCCTCGAACAGTGGGGCACACCAATACCCATCATCTCTTCAAGGTCAAACCCTTTGTTAGCGAACATGAATGGTAGATTGTGTCAAAAATACTCAAGTGGGAGGGTCTATACTCTGTCCACCATTAAGCCGACGGGGCAACAAAGGCTATGAGCGCTAGTTAGCACGTGCACCTGACCTCAAAACATCCTTTTCTAGCGCAAGTGTTTGTGCCGTGGAAGCACATTTCGAGGCCAGAGTTTTGTGTCTGTGGTTTTTACTGCTGTTAAACAGATGTTCAAAGCGATGGTGCTTTTATAACAAAGAAGCTTTCGTGCTTCTCGCTTTAAGACGACTTCAATCTGGTGTCAACAGGCAGAACAGCAGTAAAACAACCATGTGTTTGCACATATTCTAAGTGAGTTGTCATATTAAGTATAGTATTGCAGTATAGTGTAGTGACTGTAGTGAATAATCGTAATATAAAGAGCTTCGCCTCTCCTCTTTCGGGACGTAATGGTGCCGGATGGCTTCGGCACCATAGTGATTGATCGTAGTATACACTGTGGGTAGTGTTGTACTAAAGTGTAGTGTACTTCATATTATAGTATTGTTGCTATATTGAACAACAATAATCTAAAGAGCCTTGCCTTCACCCCGCACAGGACATGGTGATGCTGAATGGTTTCGGCACCATAGTGAACGCCTTGGGCAAGCGCGTGAAGGCGTACCTGCCCCAGATCTGCGGCACCATCCTGTGGCGGCTGAACAACAAGTCGGCCAAGGTGCGCCAGCAGGCGGCGGACCTCATCTCCCGCATTGCGGTGGTCATGAAGACCTGCCAGGAGGAGAAGCTCATGGGCCACTTGGGGGTTGTGCTCTACGAGTACCTGGGAGAAGAGTACCCCGAGGTCCTGGGCTCCATCCTGGGGGCCCTGAAGGGCATCGTCAACGTCATCGGCATGCACAAGATGACGCCCCCCATCAAGGACCTGCTGCCCCGGCTCACCCCCATTCTCAAGAACAGGCACGAGAAGGTGGGGTTTCGCTTTGTCTGGGTTTATTTGCTTCTCGCGGGTTTTGTGTCTTTCGGTGTCAAGTTATCGGTTTCCGACAAGCAGTCTTTGTGTATCCGTGCTTGAGTTGAAGGAAACTAAGCACTGCACATAAATGTAATGCACAGTTTTGATGCACTAAAAGCGGCAAAAGACAGACAGAGTGAAGAAGACGACACGAGGTGTCTTCACTCTGTTCCCGTTTTTTGGCCCGTTTGGTGCGTAAGGGAACCAACTAGCCAAACTCACTATTTTGATACCATAATTGTAGACTAGGGTTTAGGTAAACTTAAAAATTAGCAGAAGGTTAATATATAACCGACTGGACTTCATAACCTTAGATTTCAATATGCTTATACGAGAGAATGAAATTCAACTTGCTTATACGAGAGAATAAAAGCTCGAGAGGCCATTGCCCCAAAGTGGCTTGGGAACCGCAAGTGCATAAACCCTCGATTTCAGGTGCAAGAGAACTGCATCGACCTGGTGGGGCGTATCGCCGACCGTGGCGCCGAGTACGTGCCGGCCCGGGAGTGGATGCGCATCTGCTTCGAGTTGCTGGAGCTGCTCAAGGCCCACAAGAAGGCCATCCGGCGAGCGACCGTGAACACCTTCGGCTACATCGCCAAGGCCATCGGGCCCCACGACGTGTTGGCCACCCTGCTGAACAACCTGCGGGTACAGGAGCGCCAGAACCGGGTGTGCACCACGGTGGCCATCGCCATCGTGGCCGAGACGTGCTCCCCGTTCACGGTGCTGCCGGCCCTGATGAACGAGTACCGTGTGCCCGAGCTGAACGTCCAGAACGGGGTGCTCAAGTCACTCTCGTTCCTCTTCGAGTACATCGGGGAGATGGGCCGCGACTACATCTACGCCGTCACCCCCCTGCTCGAGGACGCCCTCATGGATAGGTGCGTGCCGGGCGTCGGTACGATGCGATGGAACGCGTGTTTGGCGTCCCGCTCCGCCGACACGCGAAAAGTAATCCCGAGGCGGCGAGAAACGACATCGCGATCTTGGTGGTTTGAGCTAGAAATTTTGCTAGAAAGTAGGAATGAGCGCAACTAAAACTAATTCTTTACTGCTTTCCACCAGTTTTAGCTTAGCCTTAGAAATTAAAGTTTGTGTGTATCAGAGCAGGGGTCTCAAACTCATTTGAGTGTGAGGGCCAGCCAGATTATCCACCCTGTAAAGGTCGAGTGCCGACATAAGGCGGAAAGGGGGGGGGAGTCAAAATAATTCAAGCAGAAGAGACCTGGTAATAAGGTGGAGAACTGGGCCAGTTGGTTGACATTATACATGATGGGGAAAACAGCTCAGAAAACACGGACTACGAAGAGGAACACACAGCATTGTCCTGTCGTGTGTGTTCCTCTTCGTAGTCCGTGTTTTCTGAGCTGTTTTCCCCCATCAAGAGACCTGGTGCTATGCTTTTTGTAAACTCACAGTGTTGCCAGTGACATCTTTAGATTTGATTGATTTATATGACTACTTTCGATCCTGACCTGATGTGAAACAAGAATTAAAATGGCACTGCCCCACCAACGTGCTCGCATTTTAATAGAATGAGAAAGCATTTTTAATAGAATGAACGAGTGGTGTTTTCACTTGACGTCAATCTGCCGTTTCGTTGTTAGATGTCAGCCCTATAAAACCCATAGGCCTTTGTGCACTACATATTCTATGGTGTCGGATGCATCTTTGGAATGGTCGCCTCCGGTACGCGCCGGAGAGCTTATTACATCAAAATGGTGGACATAATGATGTCAATGAAAACACCCTATACTGCTGTTCTCATTGCTCAATTCATTCAGGAATTAACCAAGCTCAACATGTCTCTGGAAAAACAATCAGTTATTTTATCAGTCTTGCTTTCCTGACAATTTTTATTACAACACTCTGAAAAGATACTTGTCTTTTAATGGCGATATTGAACACAAGAATCCCAAGCTCGTAGCTTTATGTTTGGCAGTTGCTCCTGCTCATTGAAAGTTCGCGTAGCCGAGACGCATCCTTCAACGAAGACCTCGCACTTGCAGCCTAATAGTGGAATTGTTTTACAGGTGTTTAACATGAGAAAAAGCTGGGAAGCATAAAATAAAGGGAAGCAAAAAGCAAATGAACACAGATAAGTATAAACCATCTTAATACATCAAAATAGCAGAGCTACTTTTGAGTGGAAAAGAATCTATGAGATGACATCACTATGGCGCATGGCCATTCTAGTGCTCGAGACATGGGAAACAGGGCTTGTAGCCGGTTGCCTGCGGGCCGCATCCAGAGTGAGTCGGGGGGCCGCGTGTTTGAGACTTCTGTATTAGAGGCTTGAGCTGTGTCTGCTCAGGCCTGCCCAAAGTCGGTTCTACTTCTAGTCGCATCTATCGGCGCAGTAGACATTTTCACCGGTGATATATTTAGCAAAGCTTGAGAAGGGGTTGGCTGGTTTTATATTGATCATTATCAATACTGATTTGCTAAGTTGTGCAGAACATCTTTGCGAAGGTGAGGAAACACGGGACGTACGGTTTCATGTGTATGGCATGTTTTTTCTTTTTTTTTACATTCATGTAGTTTCTTTTTGTGCAACTTAGCAGCCTAGAAGAATTATGGATTAAGCCTTATAAACTTACCAAGAGTGGCAGTCCAGCTAATATTGCACTTTGTCTAGCCCAGTTGTGACCACACTTCGCACAAAGTTTGTTTGTGCTACACTGCCGAGGCCAACATAGCTTCCACGGTGCTGCGGCGTGCACTGCTGCGAGATTACGTGGCTTTGTCTTGCATCTCATTCACACGCGCTCTAATGCGAAGAAGATGCCAAACGAAGCCCCACACTTGCTGAAATAGTTCTGGCAGCATTAGAGTACTGCTGGAACTACGCCAGCCTCGACATCCTGGCACAACAAAGTGGACACCGAGTGCGAAAGAACAGCCGTCCGTAGAACTTTGCGTGGTGGACGCACCCTTGGAAGCCGGACGTTGTGGAACCGCGAGAATATGGTTACCACGACGCATCCGGCCCCAACCAGGTCAACCCGCACTTCCGACGGCACCGGAACCCGTTCCGGATTTATACGTCCAGTTCCGTGCCGGTCGCCGGCAGGGCAGGTTGCACTCGGAGGAGGGCGGCTTCCCACAGCAATGACCAGAGTCTCTGGGACTTTACCCCATGGTTCTGTTTCTCGTTCCCTCTGGCACATTCCTGTCACGAACAGCGGGGAAATGGTGGGCCCTTGAAGACGGGGTTTACCAGTACCAACGTCGTCTTAGTGTCAACCCTTGTGCTAGCTGACATGGATGGTAGAGAACTGTTGGAGATACTGATATTGAGGTGGTATATTCTAGTTTGGTTGGTCATTGTATGTTTTAAGGTAGTAGCTGTAATGGGGACTTCCCTGCTGCATTTGTTGGGAAAGCGGTAAGAGTTGGAGGAGTGTGTTGCTGCGACGACCCCTTTTTGACGTGCAGAAAGCGTGGCCTAACGTTTTTGAGCTTACTGCGTCTGCTGTCGGTCGGTCTAGAAATTGCGCTGCAGAATGTGTCTATGTAGTAAAGTATTATACAACGAACTTGTATAGATACAGTGAAGAAAAGTTGAAGTACAACGGTCGTTCGAGGTTGACCGGGACTTTTGTTTGTAAGAAGCCACCGGGCAAGTGTGGCATGATGAAATGTGTGGAGGACATTAATGTAATCCTTCTCGATTTCCCCACGCCCGAAACGGCGTATTCGGCGCGTGCACATCTACTGTGGAAGTGAGCAATATGTCTGTAGCTGTGAAGCAGTGTTGCATATTAAAGGTTCTTGTGAAGGAGAAAGTTAAAGCAGCAAACATCCTGAGAAGATTGCAAGCCCAGTATGTGGAACAATGTCACAGATAGTAGTGTACAAATGGTGTCAACAGTTTGGCTAAGGATGGCAGCCAGTGACAAAAGAGGCACATGGACGTGTTCGTCTGACAAGAGCCTCTCAGTGCAGCACTTTCTATGTAAAAAGAAATTTGAGAGCTACCAAAACAATGCTGCGGTGCCTGCATGCACGCGGGGAATACTTCGAAGAACCGACGTTGCTCCGTGCTCGTCCGATTTCCTCTATGGGAGAAAAAGTCCCCGCCGTCCTCGAACGACCCTTGTATGTTCGTCATACAGTTACGTCTATTGTAGGTGCTGATATAGAATATTTACTAGAGTAATCAAAGCATTGTTTATGAACAATGCTCGAACGTTTACTTTGCCGCGGTGCAAGCACACAGCCGATCAACAGCATCTATGCGAGAAATATAGCTAATGATAAGGTAAAAAAAATTATTCTTCACAAAAATGTTATCTGCATAGGTTGCCTAAATGCAAAAATGGATTTCTTGATCTTGGATTCTGTCCAGTTTGGGTAGGGTAGTGTGGTAAAGTGCTTTTCTGGCCCGTAGGTGACTGTGGGGCTCGAGCCTTTTAAAGAAGTAGCGTGTGTTCCCCCTACGTGCAGGGACCTGGTCCACCGGCAGACGGCATGTGCGGCCATCCAGCACATGTCCCTTGGGGTGTATGGGTTCGGCTGCGAGGATGCCCTGGTGCACCTGCTCAACTACGTCTGGCCCAACATCTTTGAGACCTCCCCCCACCTGGTGCAGGCTTTCATGGGGGCCGTCGAGGGCCTCAGGCTGGCTCTGGGGCCAGTCAAGATACTTCAGTACTGCCTGCAGGTAAGTACCTCTCCTTTTATGCATTTTAACGGGAGCCAAGGAGACATTTGTGTAGCTGTCGCCGTAATGTGCAGTCATCGGCCAAATTTGGCGGGAGCCCTCAATGGGTCGTTCGATCATGTGGCTGGTTCCACGCCAGGTCACGGGATGTCACAAGATGAAATAGTGATGCCACATGACGTAGCGGTTTCGACGAGGTAATTAGATCCGGTGACATTGGCTGTCGAGTCACGGTGTGATGTGGTGTCGGGTCAGGTGGCGTCACGCCGCATGCAGGCATTTTGCATACGGGACGTTTCAGTAGTAGTAAATCGAAGGAGCACGTTAATTTTGTTGTTTTTTAATTGTGCTCGCCACGTCGTAACCGTGGTCATATTTGTGGGCATGGTGTTTTGCGAGTTTGTGATTTGTTTAGTTGTATGAGAACTAAATCCTGCCATGGGGAAGGGGGTGCTTCTCGGGGCCCTTTACATCAGTTTAGCTAGTTGTTTGTATATTTAAGTACAGTGAGGCCTTCCTACAAGTCAGTTTGGGACAACCTCCCATCACCAAGTGCGTCATTTTTGTACGAAAGAAAAGAGCATAAACTAGTTTCTTTTTTTGCGGGGGGGAAAAGGGGGGGGGGGGAGGAATGTTTAGTTTCTTGGTGAAATGGCAGCTATCTTCTTCTATGTCATCCCTTCCATTTGCGACATCTCCTTCCCCCCTTCCCTCGACCCATAGCGCTGCAGCTTTGCACTGCTATGCAAACATGTCTTGCATCTCTTACGCGCGCTCTCGTGCAAAGGAGGCACCAGATGAAGCTAGCAAAAGTAGCTTTGATGGCATCTGAACAGCAGGGAAACTACGCTAGCCTTAACAGTGCCATGGAGAAGGGAAAATGCACAGTATAAAGGCTCTCTAAAAGCCACTAAAGTTTGTTTTTGTCTCTAAGCTGGCATTACTGTAGAGCTATAAATTGTTGGAATGTGGAATCCCACAGTCGGTACAGGGGAAGACAGATTGCTCGTTGGGAGGAAAGTTCTTTCTTAATGCAGAATTGCATTCTTACTGAAGCTATTTCCAATTTGGCCTGGAAAAAAAGTGAGTGACGTGGCCAGCTGCCGGAAATCTGGATCGTGAGCTCCGGTAGCCGCACAGTTAAAAATACAAAACTAAACGGAAGAATTACGGGGTAGGATACCTAGAGGCTTTGAGAATGCTTTGCCAGCCGCGAAAGCTTCAAAAACATTAGGGAAAAAAGTTCAAAAGGAGGATGTGGGGAAGCTGACACGGCACTGCATACCGGGAAGGCTTAGAGTGGAATTAGCGCCCACTGCTTTCCTCATAAAACGCAATTTTGCGTACGACGGTTTGATCGCTAGATTGACATAGAACTGCAAGTATTTTCTCTCTCCTCGAGCGCATATGCCGAGAGCAAGTCGTCCGCTCCTTGCGCAGGAGTTGCAGTGATGTCAGAACGACGCTGAGCCCTGATTGGCTTTGATTGAAAGGATAATAACTAAACCTCAATGTCTACTTTTTTTCTTTTTTTTCAATTGGTTAATAAGAGTTTGGCATTCCGACATCATCGCTACCTCTGTGGAAGAAGCGGACAAATTTGCGCTCTGCATGGGGTTCTGTTCTGATGTCTACTCTGATTTGATGGCACTATGTTGGGGTAGCTGTTGCATGAACAGAATGACTAACCGTCCGATCTTCTCGTGTGCTCGGCAGGGCCTGTTTCATCCGGCACGCAAAGTGCGCGACGTGTACTGGAAGATCTACAACAGCCTGTACATCGGGGGACAGGACGCCCTGGTGGCCGGCTATGCGCGGGTGGCCGACGACGGACGCAACAACTTTGTGCGCCAGGAGTTGGACTACATCCTCTGACCGCCTTTCCCCAGTTTGTGTGTGTTCCCTTTCCCGTTGCGTCCGAGTGAGTTATCAATAAATGTACCTACTTGAAAGAGATGGGCTCGTGACTAAATGCGGGTAACGTGCCCGTCATTGTGATGGCTGGAATAGGTGGATCTCACCAGCCCGCTTGATTACAGCAATACATCTGCCATGCGTCAAGGGAACTTTAGTTTTTCAGCATGTGCAACAACTTCGCTGGAGCTCTGCGCAAGCGGAGCGCAAGTTTTCTTGTACACTGCTACCTGCCTCCCGTGGACTAAGGTTATGGCGGCGGCATGCATGCACCAACCGCTTTGTGTGGTCAGTCTATTGCTGTCACCTGGAGTTTCGTGGAAACCCCGCATTGAGAGTAAATGTGCTTGCATTGGTGGCGAGTGAATGGGGTTTATGCAAGGATATGCTTGTATACTCTGCTTGCCTTTGATACTGCAACAAAATTCTACACAGATTTTATTGTCTAAATGTCAACCATGTTCTGGCTGCATCGCAGAGACACCAATTTTTTGTTCAAAAAGACATTGAATTGGTATTTTAAATGAATAAACAGATTACCAGACTGCACCTGGTGAATGTTCCCGAAGCTACTTCGAAGGTGGTTATGTCTCCCTTCCCATTAAAACAGTGCCTCTTTACGAAGTATGGCGGCAAGCTGCTGGTGCGCTCCCTGCCGAACTTGGCCGAACTGGATTTCCCTTCTCTCCTGTGCCTACACAACTGCTGGGGGGTTGGGGAGCGCACATCTTGAACGGCCAGGTTGTAAGCTTTGCCACCAAGTGGCGAAGCTCGCAACCACGCCAGCCTCGCCCGTGAAGTTAAAAGTGACATCACAAACGCTACGGAGGCGCCAAATCTTCCAACACGCATCACGCTCTCCGATGGCTGCGCTTGAAGCGCTCGCTGAAATCATCCATTTGGAATGACAAACATAGCCATCCGTTCGAAATACATTTGTGTGAATGTCACTATTAGATTTTTTTTATCATGTTTAACTTGTTTTTTAATGTGAGAGGTATATTTAAATATTCATTTCAGTATTCCTTTAAAGGAGCTGTGCTACAATTTTATTTTATTTATTCAGGGCTTTGCTTAAATTATTGTGGAAGTTGATGCCTGACACTTCTGAAGTGAACTACAGAAAACAGATTTTGCCTGGATACCCTAGTTTTTATTTTAAAAAAAGTGAAAGTTGTTTACAACTCCCTCTAACGCCGAATTGGAGCGCAGCTCTTGAGGAGGAGGAGGGGAGGGTAGACCCCTCCTCCCCTCATTCTTGAAGATGCTCTGGGGGGGGGTCACCTGATTTCGGGGGGGGGGGGGGGGGGTCACGTGACTTCTGGGGGTCACGTGACCTCGCGGTTACGCCGACGCCGCTCAAGCCGGAAACGGCCGCCTAAGAGCTGCGCTCTAAAATGAAAAAGATCCAGGTTTTAGCCACCTCTCAACTCGTACGTCGTCTTCCGGGCCACGTGCGCAGTGACGTTGATGGGGTAGGCGCGGGGTTTCGGAAAAGTTCTCTCTTTAGAGCCATCAGTGAGCAGCGAGAACTCATCCGCTCGCTACCGCGTGACCAGGTGCTGGCGGGCGCCGCGCGAACAATATGGCGAAAGGAGGAAAGTCTCATCCGGGTCCGGCCATACCCGTCCGGCCCTGTCCCCCTCCCCCTTTGGCTTCTGGCGGTTGTTCGCGGTAGCAGAGAGAGCTGACGGTTTTGTGGACCTAGGATAGATGGCGCCACTAAAACTCCGTATAATAAAAGTTTTGTCGATGATACCAGGTTCTTGACGCCATTTATATATACACCTTTCCAAAAAACGCTCCTAGGCCGCCGCCATGTTGCTGATGCTGATGCGGCCGGTGCGACCCTCGCGCCCTCTATCAGCTAGAAATTTTCTGTCACTCTCTTGGACTGTGAAGAGCCGCTCAGCGCGGTTCTCTACCTACGTTTTTGCAGTTTTGCATTGGATGTTTTCTAAACCCTCTTGAAAGTTTCCACTTAATTTTTTTTTTTAATGCGTGCTGCGTATCCGTGTTATCTTCCGCTATGAGAAATAAGGCTGGTAAGTGCCTGCCATTCCAGCTTTTCTGCTCGACACTAATGGGAACAAAAAGGAGGTGAAGGACTTCAAATAGCCTTCGACGCGATTTTGCGAACATTGTTATCCCCCCTCCCAGAGATAATCCGCGTAGAATCCGCAGTCATCTCCAAAAACAGTTGTCCGGGTTGGGGTGGGGAACGGGTCAGTCGTGTTCGTTCCTTTGCCTTGGTGCTGTTGTGAAAAAAGGAAGCTCTCCCCCAAACGTGCCCCAAAACGAAGTCAGCTAGGATTCCGTCCGATCGTGAAGATGTGACTGTCATCGACTGTGACTGTGTTATTTGAGATCTTTCTCAAATAAATTATTTTTAGATAACGCTGCATCGTGTGGTACGTACAATATATTGTTCGAATGTTAACGCTTGCTAAATTGTATGTCCGTGTCCTGTCCATCGGTAAACACATTATTTGTGAACGTGAAGAATGCATGCCTTTCGGCTATTTTCTGTTGTAAATTATTTTCGACAGCTAAGCGCTTTGTCGTTTGACATGCGGCGAATCGCGCGGCGCCGTCAAAACTTATCATAAAAAAAAAAAAAAAAAACACAACACTAGAACTATACATTTCAGTCGCATTCGTTCTGTCGCGCGCGTGCCCAACAAAAATAGTTTATAGCAGGGTGTCGAACCGGAACCGAACCGTTATATTGTTATCGCGATGAACCCGAACCGGAACTGAACCAGAAAAAAAATAACGGTTACCGGCTCATGTCAAAACGGTTCGGCCGCGCGCTGTTGACAATGAATGTGCTATCAATGCCATTTGTTTTAGAGCGCAGCTCTTAGGGGCCCGTTTCCGGCTTGAGCGGCGTCGCCGTCGCCGTCGCCGTCGCCGTCGGCGTAACCGCGCGGTGCATCATGGGAAATATCCCATAATGCACCGCGCGAGCCCCCCACCGGGGTCACGTGACTTCGTGGGGAGGCACGTGACCCCCCCGAGGTCACGTGACCCCCCGAAGTCACGTGACCCCCTCCTCGAGGTCACGTGACTCCCCTGAGGTCACGTGACCCCCTCCTCGAGGTCACGTGACCCCCGCCGATGTCGCGTGACCCCCCGATGACGTCATCGACACTGATGACGTCACCGGCATCCACATCGTCATCGTCATCATCAGTGATGACGATGACGATGCGGATGCCGGTGACGTCATAAGTGATGATGACGATGACGATGTGGATGCTGGTGACGTCATCAGTGATGATGACGATGTGGATGCCGGTGACGTCATCAGTGATGATGACATCAATGATGATGACGTCATCAGTGACGATGACGATGTGGATGCCGGTGACGTCATCAGTGATGATGACGATGTGGATACCGGTGACGTCATCAGTGATGACGTCATCAGTGATGATGACGATGCCGGTGACGTCATCAGTGATGATGACGATGTGGATGCCGGTGACGTCATCAGTGATGATGACGATGACGATGTGGATGCCGGTGACGTCATCGGTGATGATGACGATGTGGATGCCGGTGACGTTACCGACATCCGCATCGTCATCGTCATCATCACTGATGACGAAATCAGTGACGTCACTGATGACGTCACCGACATTCGCATCGTCATCATCACTGGTGAAGTCATCAGTGACGTCACTAATGACGTCATCAGTGACGTCAGTGATGACATCATCGGCATTGGGGGTCAGGTGACCCCCCAAGGTCACGTAACCCCCCCCTGGTTAGTCTAACCCCCCCCCCCCCCAGCGCCCTTCCCTCCTCCTCCTCAAGAGCTGCGCTCCAATTCGGCGTTACAGGGAGTTGTAAGCGGCTTTCACTTTTTTTAAGTGCCGTCAACTGACACACACCTCGCTTACATATTTTTCTTCTCCACTCAGTCTTAGGAATATAAACGCTGCATCCATGAATCTTGACATAGGAACCAGTATTGCGCTGGTAGCGGCTTGCACGAAAAAAAAAAAAAAAAATTGGAAAGCTGTGCAAAAAAAAAAAAAAAAAAAAATCGCGTCACGGGATTTTATTTTTCTACAATCTCGTAAATCCTAAATGCTGCTGTGTGCTCAATTCATAACACGTTTCTAGAACGCGCGAGTTCTTGAAGCTTGCTTCCATCGGAATGAGAAAAGAAAAGGCTGTGGAGTTTGATAATAATGCATCCGGTTTCGTATAGGCACTTAGAGGCTAACATATTTGTGAGACAGCGAACTCTTCCATTCTAATATTTATCCTATTACGTCCTTCTGGCGTTGCGTTCGGTGAAGTGTTTTTCATATCCCGTATCTTGTTTAATGAAAACTTCTTTAAGGGTCTAATTTGAGTTACCGAAGGCTAGTTCAAATAAAGCAAGCTGTATTTTCTCCCCACTGTTCCTTCAATTGCTTACACGCCGAGGTGGCGGGATAGTTAGCGAGTTCTACTTGTAAGTGGGTTTGTAAGGAGGTCGCGGATTTTACAGCTACTGCGTCGGACCCAATTAGATGAAGTCCGAATGCGTAAACGTCGGTGAGGTAACCTTTGAGTGCACATAAAGAAACCATTCCTGGTAGAAATCCCTGAGCCTTACACTACGATGTATCCCGTTTCGTATGTGCTGATTTCATATGTTTTATTTTTAATTTATTTTGATGTTGCAATTGGTCATTTATAATTTCCAAACCGGTTCGCGAACCGGTTCAGCGTTCCGAACCGGTTCGCGGATCGAATTAGTCGAACCGGAACTGAACCGGAGCAAAATAAATTTACCTGAACCTGAACCGTAACCGAACCCGTATTTTTTTCGGTTCGACACACTGGTTTATAGGTTTTGTTTATTGCTTTTTTTTTTTTTCAAATGTGGTACAATGCTTTCTCAATGACCTCGGGAAAATACATGCACCATGAATCACAAAATACAGCAAGAAAAGACGAGAATGTAGCCGCTAGCAGTGTTTGAAAGTGCGCCTACCGAAATCACAGTACACTCGGTTAGGGTTACCAGGGACGCCGGTA